CCACAGTGACATTCAGGGTATATTCCAGTGACATTGAGGGAATATTCCTCGGTAACATTAATGGAATATTCCAGTGACATTAAGGGGATATTCAGGTGATATTGAGGGAATATTCCAGTGATATTAAGAGAATATTCCACGGTTATATTGAATTTTTCTTTTAAACGTGTTTTTAATCTTCCTGCTTATTCAAATAACATAATTTATAATACATTTCTATTATTTCAAAAAAAAAAAATTCAATATAACCGTGGAATATTCCCTCAATATCACTGGAATATTCCTTTAATATTATACCCTCAATATCACTGGAATATACCCTGAATGTCACTGTGGAATATTCCCATGATGCGGACATTTTGATTTTCCTAGAAGATCATAAGAATATTCCACTGGGATATTCAGGGAATTTACCGTGCTGCTTGGGAATTTATACTAATTTGAATTAGTACAATTTTGACACTAATTCAAATTTAGAGAGAGTTTACAAAAATAAATTCATCAATTATTTAATTTTTTTTTCTTAATTCCCAATAGTGGGATATAAAATTTAAATACCCTATAACCTCTCTTTCTCCTCTTTCTGCTCTCTTTATAATCTTGAAATATGCAAATAATAAGACTGATTCTTGAGTGTAAATGCTCGTTTAAGAAAATAATATATGCACTTAAAACAATAATCCTATATATCCTTAATCGGTGTGTGCCACTTTTAAGTGTACATATAATCGAGAACCGCAGCTCACTTCCGTTATAGCACAGCTTTTTAATACAATAGTATAGGAACAGCAGTTGTTCCCTTCGACTTTAAGCACGTCATTTAAGGTATACTGTATTTTTTTGTTGCACCATTCGTTAAGAATTGAAGCATTGTTTTCATTTCAATACTTGAGATTATATAATAAAACGGCAGTTGACGAAATTTTGATATATATTGAAGCCACGCGAATTTTCAAAGGGTTACATGTTTCATTAACTCTATTTTCTCTATTAAGGTATTTATTTCAAAATATAATAAGATAAGTTTACTTATTAACACATTAGAGTTAAATAAATGAATGGCACATACGAGTATATATATATATATAGTATATACCTAACACTTGAATGATATTGTGAGTGTAAAATTTAAAGAAACCTTTTTTCTCCATATTGCAGTCAAGGAGTAGAGGAAATAAAGTTTGATAGCGGCAGCGGTTCGTTACCACAATGCGCAATCAACTGCTATTGTTATATACACTGGCATTGCCAACAATGTTGGTTCGGGAATATATATATATATATATGAAGCAACGTTTAGCCAAGTACACGAACAGTATTATCGAAATTAATAAAGCTTTCAAGGGCTCGTGGCACCGCTTGTGCTGTTCATTACACGCTTCAGAAACTTTTCTATTTTTCTCTTCTCTTGTTTTTAGGTCGACAATTGACTTTTCGCATTACTAATTCCTTTATATATATATAATTGTATATACCGTTTATTCTATTTGCAACAAATTCTTGAACTTAAATACCTTCCTACTTCTAAAAATTTAAATTCCTAAAAATAAACTTCTGTTGTCGAAATGTTTTATAACAAAAAAAAAAAAATTTTAATTCTTTGTATTGCAAGAGCAATAATAATGGTGGAATGATTCTTAGGTTTGAAATTATTGAGAAGAGAAACATGGAGTTCCGCGCCATCACGGTCGAACGAGCGCGCATCGCGGTTGGTGGATATAATATGCTGGACCGGGAGAAGATGCGAGACGAGATTTTTAGGACAAGGGATGCGCGACGAGGTGATGGGTATAGAGAGTATAGTGTTGAGAGAATGGGAGGATGGAACGATTCCCCTCCAAAATATTATTGAGGGGGGAGAAGAGAAGATCTCACTCGCCGTACAGCTGGCACTGCCTTTCTGACATTAGAGACCGACCTGACATATCGAATCTCGTTCAAATGGCGACGTAACTTAAAAAAAAAATGAAAAACGATTTCTTTATAATATAACAGTTATTGCTTTAATAAATAAAAGTGGACTCAAACTTTTATTTGAGGTTAACTTTACAATACACAAAATCACGACCAAATAGTAGCACCGAATCTGTAAAAATGAAAATATTAAAATAAATTATAATAAAGCAGGAAGCAATTTTTTATAATATTCATTCGACTTACTGGGTTTCTAGAAGTTTTCATATATTTTAATTTCTGAAATATATATGCTTCCGGTGGTAAACGGTTACGCAATTTTACGCCATAAACTAAAAATTGTTATAGAAGTGCCACTTTTCCAAATTTTACACAGCATTTACGCAATTGATTCAAATTTTTTAAAAACTGAAATTTTAGTGACAATCATCAGCAACGAAGCAAGCTTTCCTCTCCCTTTCTCTTTCTAAATAAAAGTGCAACTGTAAGCAAATTTGTACCCACTAGCGAGCAGTGTTGCGTATGACACATACACATATAAGGGGTTGCGGAAGATGTAGACATTTTCGACTGGAAGAGCGAGCGACTCATCCCAAGAATATATATATATATATTCGCGAAGTAGAGAGGCAGAACTTGCTTCTCAAGTTGTCGGGGATGCGATGGTTTTAATTGCTGCTTAAGACACCCTCGTCGCGTTAACCTCATCCGCGATCCTTGTGGGTATGTATTTCGTGTCGCGTTCTATATATATATATATATAAAGGCAAGATTATACGCTCACGAGGAAAGGAGTGAAGCGACTTTACTCTTGCAGTATATAACATAACCTAACCTTAGCCCTCGTATCCTTAACCGCACTCAAACCCTTCCCCATATACGACTGCTTCTTCTTGTTCTTCTTCTTCTTCCTCCTTCTCCTTTCCCAAGACTCTCTCTTTATCCACCGTTTAACGACGAGAAGCTCCTACTGCGTTTGCGGAAGAGGGAACTTCCCTAAGGATGTACGTGCATGCTACACAAGACGTTAAGCGCGCAAGTTTGGTACAACCAAAACCTCATATAATCCGCGAGAAGTTTACTCTGTCGCGAATTTCAAAGTCTTATCTTCACTATAATTATAAATATTTTTATTTAATATTATATTTAAAAGTTAATCAGCGATTAAATCCCTAAGACCAACGAATCATAAGCGGTTAAATTGACTTTATTAAACTACCATACCCTGCTCATAGTGAAAATTTAGTAACTGGTAATTTTAACTAAATTTTCACTAGAGCAGAGTGCGGTTATGAATACCACCATATATGTTTCCCTATTTCCTCATGTATTTATCCCAATTATTCATTATCTAGTATGAAACACTTGCTTTCAGCCACTGAATCCAAAATGACACTGAATCACACTCAACGAATTTCTTCTTTATGTATTTTCCCAAATTATTCATTATCTAGTATGAAACACTTGCTTTCAGCCACTGAATCCAAAACGACACTATAATCACATTTAACGAATTTCTTCTTTATTTTCCCAAATTATTCATTATCTAGTATGAAACACTTGCTTTCAGCCACTGAATCCAATACGACACCTAATATCACTCACTGAATTTCTTCCTCGTAATTTTATTTTCTGGACAATTTTCAAAATTATCGATGTAAAGAAAGTATTGTAAAACAGCCCTTAACAAACTTTAGTAGAATATTTGGAAGGTAGCCATTGTACCCGCACTCTCCAAATTCCCTACTCGCCATTTCTTAAAATTCTCATCAGCTATCGCACCCTGCTCTAGTGAGAATTTAGTAACTTTTACTTTTAACAATAGTCACTAAATTTTCACTAGAGCATATAATTCTTGTCAACTACCACACCCTGCTCTATATAGTTAAAATTCAGTAACTTTTACTTTTAACAATAAAGTCGTAAAATTTTTACTAGAGCAGGGTACGGTAGTTGACGAGAATTATATATATAACAAATGGCGAGTGGGGACAATGGAAACCAACCATGGCACGACTTTTAAAAATGTCATTAAACCGGAAGAACGTAAAAACCAAAGAAAACTAAGAACTCTGTTGCTTGGAGCGGATTAGATTTTAAATCAAAATGGAGCAAGTAAGAGACTAAATTTGCTCCATGTGACAGAACCCTAAGTGGAAGAATGAGTTAGAAAAGAACAAAGATATATGCTATATCCTTTTCTAACTCATTCTTACGATTGTGTCTAAAGAATCTATTCTTGCTTTGCGGAAAAAAAATGAAGGAGAACAGAAAGTAGAATTTTGAGGAAAATGTACACAATCTTCCATATATATTATTATTATTATAAATATAAGAAACTGATTTTTGATTCAGAGTTGCAGTTATATGTGTGTGTGTGAGAGAGAGAGAGAAAGAAGAGACTCTGAAACTTCTTGGGGCTTCTATAAATACTCGTACACTGGGATGGTTCCGGAGATTCGAGCGTTCGACGCGACGGGGCTTGGCGTGTACATATCGGGTCGCCATGCCAGGCCCGATAGAAACCCTGGGGGGGTTGTTATCAGGTTTCCATTAGCACACAGTGTGGGATAGGGTAAGAGAGAGAGAGGAAGGATGAGGAGGAGGAGAGAGAGAGAGAGAAATTCACGTTGGGTGACAGAAGCGTACATTGCCATCGTAGGGAGGATAGAAGCGGCGTCGGGACGCCTGGCGTCTTATCGCACTACCCCTCTCTCTTTCTCTCTCCTTCCGTCGGTTCCTCACCCTTCCTCTTGCTTTCGTCATCCATCCCTTTCTCTCTCACTCTCGTCCTCTTACACCTTCGTCCTTGTCGTTGAGTCAAAACCCACTGACGCTTCGAAGCGCTCACCCAGAAACCGACGATAAGGTTTGCCGGGCGATGCCTGCAGCCTCCTGCCTGTTTCCTGCTTGCCTTCCTCCTCTATATATATATCTCCAACACACAATCGCAAGTACACGCACATATCTCACTTGTTAACTTATTTCTACTGATTATTTTCACCGAATTCTCATTTAATGCCACAGATTACTTGTATTTTATATTTCATATATTTTAATTTTCCTATTTTTTTTTTTTGTTTCAGTTGCTGATCTCGAGGGTGGAACACATTCAGACGAAACAAATAGCGGCGGTGACAATAGCAATGCTGGAAGCATATCCGGTGGTACTGACGATGACCAAGCACGTTTGCGCCTTAAAAGAAAACTCCAAAGGAATCGCACAAGTTTCAGCAATGAGCAAATTGACGCTCTTGAAAAAGAATTTGAGAGAACACACTATCCAGATGTTTTTGCAAGGGAAAGACTTGCTGGCAAAATCGGTCTACCGGAAGCACGAATACAGGTGAATACTTGTAAAATTGTATATTCTTATAAGGATCTTATATTAATGTATATAGATTATATATAGATTGATAAATATCTCATCCACTAACTCAGGTCTGGTTTTCAAATCGTCGTGCAAAGTGGAGGCGCGAGGAAAAATTAAGAACACAACGGAGGGATAATCCACAGCAGCAACAACATTCTGGAAGTGTTGGTTTAGTAGGAGGACATCCAACACCACCGCCATCGAGTATTATTAGTGGACAACCACCACCACAGGCGCCACCATCACCACCAAGAATACATCATGGTTTTGCACCTTCCGTCTATCCGGGAATTCCCAGTATGCCCGATTCATACAGGTGAGAAGACTTTTTTTTGCTTAATTTTTTAATATAAAGATAGCAGGCCTAAGCAGAATGAAACCTCTAATCGTAAATCTTTTACATGAGAGAGAAAAGGATAGAAATAGCTTTTGTCCTTTTCTCTCTCATGTAAAAGCTTAAGATTTATGATTAAAATTTTCATTCTTTGGCCCTATATGATTGGATGGTTTCCATTGTCTCTACTCGTCAAAATCCCCACTGGACATTTGTCATAATTCTCGTCAACTACCGCACCCTGTTCTTAGTAAATATTTAGTAACTTTTAATTTTAACAATAAAGTCACTAAATTTTTACTAGAGCAAGGTGCGGTAGTTGATGAGAATTATTGGCGAATGGAAACCAACCAATTCTGTATAGTGCATGTACGAAAATGGACAATTTTTTTCGGAAGCTGTTAGTTCCTAAACTTCTCGCTCGTTACGTTACAATCGCATAGATAGCAGACTGAAACGAACATGTGCTCTTCTTGGTTAACAACATTCGTGGTGAATTCCAACAGAATCACTTGTGATTCAAAAAAAAGTGTAACACCTAAAAAGCACGTAAAGTGTGGAAAATTCTTAGACTTTTTTGAGATTTTTGAAAAAAGTGAAATAATTTTAAATGAAATGTAATTGAAATTGCAATAATTATAACCAATGAGAGAGCCGCCATTTCGTGGCAGGAAATTTATTATTTTAACAATTAACAAGACAACTTCGCATTAGAAATGCAACAGGTTTCAAAACATTCAAGTACAGAATAATTAAAAAATTTTTAAATATTGAGAAAATTATCAACATTAATAAATCGAAAAGAAAAAAGTACGATAATTTTAAACTATAATCAGTATATATTGTTGTCTATTTGGATGCTTAGAAATGAAAACAATGAACGTTATAGAATTTTGCAGACCATTAACATATAATCTAAAAGCACAACATTTGTATTTGAATTTCTTATTTATTAGTTTCAATTTCATTTTTTTGTCAATATTTTTTTTTTACAAATAAATGGCGTCTTTGAATTTTGATATAACCTTAAAATTTTCTCACTAAATCTATCTAAATAATTGAAATTAATTTTCAATAATGATTTCTCAAGGGGTACATCTGTTCGTTGCGTTTGATATAATAATAAAATACCAACAAATAAATAAAATTAACTTATTTGCAAAAAAAAATTTGCCTTTACTTACTACTATTGGTCTACTTTTTAAATTGTCTTCTATTTCTATATACTAAACAAAAAAAAATTTCTTTTTGTATTCAATTCAGTCCAATGAGTTCGATGCCAAGTTTCACGATGTCAGGCGCAAGTCAACAAAATCAACACACAACCAGTATGTCATCATTATCGTCAGGCGGTGGAATGGGCCCAATGGGAATGACAGTTGGAATGACAGTGGGTCCAAGTCCTGGTGCATGTCTTCAACAGCGTGACAATGGCTATTCGTGTGGTGTTGCACGACCATCGAGCTATGAACCACTTCATTTGGGTTATGGTGCAAGGCCCACTTGCAGTCCAACACAACCTTATCACACAGCGGGCCTTAATCAGTACAACCAGAACGCCACCTCGACCGGTGAGTGTCTACCGCACTCACTGCACTCGCTGCTTGCCCTTTAGCCGATGGATTATGGCTACCACGGATACCGCTATTGAACCTCAGACAGACCGCACTCTCTAATCATATTCCGGTAATGAAAACTGATTTTTGCACGCTTAGATTTTTTTCACAAAAAAAAAGCGTGCCCCTCAATAAGAAAAAAAAGAAAATCGGATTTCTTTCAATATTACGAATTTCGAGATAAGAAAAAAAAGAGAATATTTAATTGGTTAAAGAAAGAAAACGCAAATTTTGATTTTTTTTCTTTCACCTCAGACAAAAGTTTCCAATTTTTGTATAACAGGAGTGCAACACCGGAAAATTTAAGATAATTGCTTTATTTATCGACTATCATATTGAATAAGCGAAAAATTTTGACTATATATTTATTATTAATAAAACAATATTTATTAGATTTTTTTCAAATTGAAAAAATTCATATAGATTTCGAAAAAAATGTTTCGGACAAAAAAAAATGTTCAATGAAAATTTCCCATAGAATGCCTCAATTATAATTATTTTTGAAATTCGCGCCGAAATTTTGCGCTTACGTCGGATGTTTCTCTTTCGGACAAATTAACGTTTTGTCCAGAATAAGAATTCGATAATTCAAATTTCAAATTAAAATTCGATTTAAAAAAAAAATTAAAAAAATAAAAAATAAATATAAAAATACTTGACTTTTGAGCAGGAAAAATTTCTGGAATATAATTATGGAAATAAATCCCATTTTTTTATATGGGGCATTCTATGGGAAATTTTCATTGAAAATTTTTTTTTGTCCGAAATATTTTTTTTTATAAATCTTTATGAAAAATAAGGAAATACGTCCTATATTTTTATTTCTTAAATTGATGAAAATGAAGGAAATTATGATTTTTTGAAATTTAACGTTAACGAATAATCTATTGTACTAAGAAATTAAAAATTATGCTATATATGAAATTTGTTCAATTTTTCTCAAATTTTTCAAATATGTGCTCAAAAATAATGTACTTATAACAGAAGCAACAAAAAAGTTGAAATTAAACTTATAAAGTGAGTTTTCTCAAAAGAAATATACTTTCGATTTTTAATTTTTTTTTTTTTGCATTACAATCTCTGATGATTGAAGAATTTTTTCCCCTATCTGCGAAAGTGGTATTTTTAGTTTTTAAATTACTATTTATAATTTTTTTTAGTACGACTCACAGAATTTAAGCATTTTTTCTACAAATATAACCTTTTTCCATTAACATTCATTTGTTTTTTTTTAATTTTCATAAAAACATACTAAAAATCGTTGCGTCAAGCTTAAAAATTGTAAATAGTAATTTAAAAACTAAAAGTACCACTTTCGCAGATAGGGGAAAAAATTCTTCAGTCATCAGAGATTGTAATGCAAAAAAAAAAATTAAAAATCCAAAGTGTCTCTTTTGAGAAAACTCACTTTATAAGTTTAATTTCAACTTTTTTGTTGTTTCTGTTATAGGTACGTTATTTTTGAGCACATATTTGAAAAATTTGAGAAAAAATGAACAAATTTCATATATAGCATAATTTTTAATTTCTTAATACAATAGATTAAAAAATGTTCCAAAAACACACTTTCTTCGTTGACGTTAAATTTCAAAAAATCATAACTTCCTTCATTTTCATCAAATAAAAAAATTAAAAAATACCTATTTCCTTATTTTTCATATAGATTTCGAAAAACAATGTTTCTGACAAAAAAAAATTTTCAATGAAAATTTCCCATAGAATGCCCCAATTATAATTATTTTTGAAATTCGCGCCGAAATTTTGCGCTTACGTCGGATGTTTCTCTTTCGGACAAATTAACATTTTGTCCAGAATAAGAATTCGATAATTCAAATTTCAAATTAAAATTCGATTTTAAAAAAATAATTAAAATTATAAAAATAAATATAAAAATACTCGACTTTTGAGCAGGAAAAATTTCTGGAATATAATTATGGAAATAAATCCCATTTTTTTTTTAAATAGTATTAGAATTTCCGCTACTTAAATTAGAATTCTTAGCAAAAAAAAAAAAAAAAAGACAAAAAAAATAATAAAAAATTAATTTCTAAATTTCAGGTTTAATATCACCCGGTGTGAGTGTGCCAATCGCAGTGCCAGGGCAACCGGCACCAGATTTGGCTGCACAATATTGGTCTCCAAGGTTACAGTGACCGTGGTGGTCATCAACATCGACTTCCACCTCGTAGAACCTTTTTTTTTTTTTTTTATCTTCTCAACGAGATTTTCACACATCAAATTCGAAAAAAAATCGTTGTTTCGCTGATAAAAAAAAGAAATTCTTTTCTTCAAAGTGCGAAAGTCGTTTTAATTATAAAATAATCGATTGGGTCGCGTCTCTTCAAAAAAAAAAAAAAAACCAATTCTTAAATTATGAAGAAAAATAAAAAATGTAGCAAAATTGAAAAGGAATTTTTTCACACATATTAGGAACAAATTGTACGCAACTATATAGTTATATTGAAAGTAACATTTAAAAAAAAATTAACTCATCGATAATTTTTTCGTTATTGTTCTTTAAAAGAACACCATACATTTTTGTGATTTTTTTTTTTAATAAACTTCTTTTTGGAAGTTTCAAAATGTATTATAATAATCAGACTTTTTTTTAATATATGATAAATAAATCACCGTTAAGTCGGCCAATAAGTACGTACACAATTTTTTAGTTAGGCGCAATCATATTTTTTCGGCCCCAGCGGCACATTAAATTGGTACAAAAATCTTAATGATGATGATGATGATGATAATACCGATGACATTAATGCCGATAAATTATTAGCTCGATCGATAATAATTATTAACTTTCTTTAAAGAAAGTAATTTTAACTGAGCTTATAAAAAAAAGAAAATGTTATGCGATCTGTTATTTTGTTATTGCATTATTACTATTATTATTATTATCATTGTAACGACTGCAATTGTGTCAAATACGCACCCCAGTAATTTATAGCACACAATAACTTATCCTTTTTTCCCCCGCGTAATTTCATTACACAACATTAAAAAAAGTAAATCAATGTTATTTACTCACCTCTCGTGACAAGCCTCGAAATAATCATTTAAAAAAAGCATCAAATGCTATTTTTCTCTGTATTTGTTTTTCGATTTTTTTAAAAAAGCGAGAAACTTCAAAAGTTACTTGTATATTTAAAAATAGAAAATGATTCATAATTTTTTTTTTCAAAAGGAAAATATTTTTGTAAATAACTCCAATAGAAAAAAAAACCTTGTAATTAAAATTTCGAAGTGTATTTATTTGGAAAAAACTTTTTTTTAAAGTACGAATCATTTTCTATTATAGTAATAAAAAAAAAAGAGTCTTGACGCGAAGCTGATTCCTTTTCACACGTAATCGATTTCCCACGATCTAGAAAAATAATTCACCCCTCCTCTTTGATAAAAATGATTATTATACAGTTAAAAAAATGATGATAATTAATTCTAAGTCGATATTATTTATATTCATGTAATGAATGGAGCCGACAAAAAAAAATCGTTTTTGTGTGAAACCGGAATATATCGGCAGTCATTTTGTATGTATAGTAAATTCGTAAATAAACAAATATAAATATATAAATAAATAAAAAAAAAAATATATATATATATATATATAAATGAATATAGTTGAAAATAATTTTAAGTACTCATTGTAAGTTGACCGGTGCAAGTTTTATGAATCGAAAGAAAATAAAGAAGGAATAAAAATAATAAATGGAATTATAATTTTTTCCTTTCATTTAGAAATATATTTTTTTTTGTATTTTAATAATATTAATAATAAAAATTATTTAATCAAAATTGGAAATCTTTTTGGGGCTGAGATAAAACATAAATTATTAAACCTTATATCATTTCAAAATTAATATAATTTTGCATATTTTATTATATTACAATATATTTCTATAATTTACAAAAAAAAAATGTAATGCAGTGATTGCATTTTTTTTCACATTGCCATATATAAAGGATACAAATTTAGTTAGTGAATTTTTTACTTTTAATTTCATATATTCGTTTTATTTTTGTATTTAAAAAAATATCTTTTTTTTTTCTTACCCAAATAGAATTTCAATTCTATAAAAATTTTTCTTACATTAAACTTACTTTAGTCTAAAAAAAATACTGCAAAAGAAAATATAATTTTTCCTCCTGAATATAACTATATTTACAGTTAAACTATTTTTTTTTTTTTTTTTTTTTGCAAAATCTTATTTTAAAATACTTGAAAATAATATTATTATCCACATTTTTTTTTGTAAGACGCATGAATAAGCTTTAAAATTAATTTGTTAAGAATTTTCATTTTAACAGAATTTGGAATTAACTTTCAGTCGAATTTTCTTTATTACAGAATTGTTATTCAAGCAAATTTCCATTTTACTCGAAATTTTATTATAGAAAATAGTCGAATTAAAAAGAATTATATGAAAAATAATAATTGAAAAAAAAAATGAAAATTCGACTAACAATAAATTCTAAATAATAAAATTCTGTCAAATTTTAATAAATTAATTTTAAAGTATTGCATCTCTTTTTGGTGTTTATATATATATATATATATATATATATATATATATATATATATATATATATATATATAATATTTACATGAATATCGACTATTTAATTTTTCTTAAAACTCTCTTTTTAAGAAAACTTATATCCAAAAATCTTTTTTTTTCTATATCACTTTTTGATAAAGGACAAATTTAAGATTTTGATTTAAAAATATTTTAATAAAAATTATAAAAATATTTTCAATTTCATTATATAATTTAAACTCAATAAATTGTATTAAAAAAAAAAAAAAATATTTACCCACTTGAGGTAAAAAGAAAGAATCTGGAATTTACTTCCAGTGATTTTTGTTCTTATAATAAGGCCTCAATATCTTTTAAAATATCCTCCTCCTCCTCCTCCTCTTCTTCAGCAATGACAAGTGAATTATTGCAAATTATTTTTGAATTATCACAGTCAATTGTCTCAGTCGATACTGAAATTTTTTCAACAACATCATCTGTTGTACTACTATCACAAACTCTAACTTCAACTTTTGAGAATGAATCATTTTGATTTTCATTCTTTTTTTCAATTTTCATATTATCATTATCATCTGATAAATTTTTACTTGTAAATTGAGAAAATTTCAATGATCTTCTTAATCTAACAGGTGGTACTTTATTATCCAAAATTTTTGATATTTTATTTCGTGAAATTTCATCGAAATTTTCATCCAATTCAGAATGCTTTCTTTTATTTATCTCTCGCCTTTCATTGTTGATTGCTTTTAATTTTTCTAAAGTTTTCATTGCATCTTTTAAAAATTCCTCAGTTGATTGATCATCACTTTGTATTGTTGTTGTTGTTGTTGTTGTTGTTTGATCGGAAGAAGATGAATTGGCTTCAATTTTCCTTCGACGAATTTCTTCGAGTGTTAAAATTTTGAAATTTAAATTAACTGAATCTGATGATGATGATAATGATGAATTGTAAAGAGGTGAATCCCTTTGTGTACGAATTGTTGTTATTTTTTTAAATTTCCCACCACCACTTGAACACAAATAATCGTCCGGTTGATAGGAATAAAAAGCTGCACTCTCTGCTTGAATTTCCTCGAGACGAATTTCCTCATATGTTTTGCAATACGCCACTCTGGATTTCCGTTTTTTTACTGGTGAACAACCTCCTTCGCTATCGGATTCTGTAAACAAGGCGTATTGATTCAGATATTAAATCATTTCAGTGATTTCTCTTTTTTTTTTGTTTTTTTTTTTATTTTTTTTTTTTTTTGTTTCTCTTGTCTTTCTCCATGTGCTTACTACCTCACGTCTTGGGAAAAAAAAGGTTCTTTCTGTGATTTCAAATTATACAAGGATTTACAATTTTTAAATTTTTTCAAATATTATTAATTATTTATTAATTACTTACTTCTAGTTCAGCTAAATCGCATTCGAACGTTGTTTCTTTTTTGAGAATCCAAAAAAAAAAAAAATTGCATTTATTTAAAAAAATTCCTTTTTGCAAAAAAAAAAAAATTCAATTCAATTTTTTTAAAGAAAAAATCGATTAAAAGTTTTAGTTCATCTTCATATTTTCGTTTATATTTTAATTAAAAGTTGCATTTACATTCGAATTTGAAATTCAAATACAATTTAATTAAAAATACATTTTTTTTCAAAATATGAAATAAAACTTAAAAAAAAAATGTTATTATTTTTTCTACTTAAAAAATCCGAAAATATGAAATTAAACTAACTTGTAATTTATCTGTTGAAATTTTCACTTTGAAAAATAATGGATGAGGAGAGAAAAATTATCAATTAAATATAAACAAGTGGCCCTAGTATCGTGAAAGTTCCAATTTTTTTTTTTTAATTTTCTCAATAAATTTTTCTCTTAACAAAACTCGATTAATTGGAATAATTTGACGCTACTCTGGCCAATTTTTGTAATAATAACAATAATCGTGTTTGTTTCGAGTTATCAAGTTTATTGAAATCCAAATATCGCATCAATGAAAATTATTAATTTCCATTCGCTTACATCGATCAATATAAATAATGCGCATTAGCTTATTAAATTCATTTTTTTTCCACTCTTACAATTTACAATGGATCTTTCGGCAAGTTAAACTATTCAATGGTATTTGTAATAATTGTATAAAAAATTTTTTAATTTCTAAATATTATTAAATATTTAAGTATAATATTAGTTTTTCAAATTTTTTTTTTGAAATTACTATAAATTATTACAATTGCCACTGTATAATTGTACAGAACCATATTATTATTATTATATTTTTTTCCTTTTTTGTTACATAATCTTTGAAATTACACCAGAGAAAAACACATTATATGCGTATTATAATTACAAAGGTGTTTAACATCGATTATTATTGGAGATATACAAAGAATCATTTACGATCCAAAAAATGCGCATTGGTATTTTTTTTTTTTTTTTTTTTTTCATATACGAATGGAAAAGGGGAATGGTAAAAACTTTTATGTATAGAAAAACCACGAACACAATAGTTTTAAAAAAAAGAAAGAAAAAATTATTTTAAATAATTTTTCATGAAACGCTAACGCGATTACATTGCATTAATTTTTTTTTTTTTTTTCACATATATATATTATTATTATACATACATGTATATTTAAATATACATATATGAAAATAAGCTTTTTTTTTCTATCGCCAAAATTTGGCAAAAATTTTTAGACAGGAAGGAAACATTTTTTTGTTCCTTTTTTTTCAATAATAATAATTAATAATAATAATATGCAATTAGAGAGAAGTTTGAAAGTCCAGTTTCTCTTCTCTACTTATCGCTCAATTATAATTATAATCAATTTAACGAACATTGATTATACAAAGATTATCAATGGCATTGTTATTAACGGTACGAGAGATCAAAAAAAAAAAATTTTTTTTTTCCTTCTGTAAATTTTTCATTTTTGAAATTTAATGTTTCATTCTTTTTTTTTTTTAAATTTGTATAATATCGATAGTCTCGTAACGCTAATAATAAAGTTACCTTAATTATATCAATTATTCCCAATGTGGAACAATATAATAAAAATGGTTACTTCACACTCTACCTCTCGCTCTCAAACACTCACTCACGTGAGACAAAAAAGCTTAAGAAAAAATTCGTGCTATTTTTAATTAATTCACAAATTTTTGTTGAAAAAAAAAAATTTTTTTCTTAACAACGAAAAAATAATTAAAAAAAAAAAAAAATATAAAAAAAAACGAAATAAAATATGAAAGAAAAGGTCTCACAACGCCACCACAATGTTTATATGAATACAACAATTATAAATAACTAATTTACTTTCATTAAAAATTAAATTTGTATGTGTAGAAATTAATTTGCTTTTTTTTTCAAAAAAATTCACTGGAAAAAAAATTTAATTTTTTTGAAAGTAAAACTCAATAAAAAGAAAAAGTGGTGCTTTAAGCGTTTGAGGTCGTCCGCTTCGCAACGAGGATAATTACTAATATATTTTAGTACTTAACCATAGAATATATATATATAATATATCATTATGCCGTACGCCTCATTTTTTTTTTTTTTTTATATAAAGATTGCTAATTTTCTATATTATGCGTGAAATTGTCTCTCTCTCTCTCTCTCTCTCTCTCTCTCTCTCTCTCTCTTTCTCTCTTTCCCTGTTTAATTTACACATATATAGATATAAATAAATAATTATAAATAATTATTTATTTATATTTATCAATAATATAATTAAATTACTTTTTTCCTTGATTCTCTTTTCTCTTTAATCGAGCTTTATTTAAATTTTCTTTTTTACCCTCATCCCGAAAAAGAAAAAAAATAGTTTTACTAGAATAAATGAATTTCCTTTTTTTTTCTTCTTTAATTGATTTGAGAATTTTCTCTATTAATTTCATATTTTTTGGGCTTTAATTTTTTTTTGAAAAAATAAATTCGGGATAAGGGGCAAAAACCATGGGCGTAAGAATAAATGGATAGAGCTCTCTAAATATATATATATATATATTTTTTTTTTTTGTAGGTCCCATGTTTTAGCAGTTAAATAATAGAGAAAAAAAAAAAAAATCACTCGGAGCTAAAGAAAAAAAAAAAAAATTTTTTTTTTTCTGCTTCGGCCGTACAAGTTTTCTCCTTCCAATCACTAAGTCTGTCTCCCCAAGTTGATACTTTTATCTCCATCCATATGCTCCTACGTCTATGATAAAACAACAGGAAGAAAAAATACTACATAACAAAAAAAAAAAAACAACTCACTCACTCTGGCACTCATTTTTTTTTTATATATATATATATATATAATTTTTAAAGACATTTTTCGCTTTAGATTTAAAAAAAAAAATTATTTAAATGCAATTAGTGATTTGTGTATTTTTTTTTTTCAAGAGAATTATTATATTATACTCTTTGTGTATACACAGTTTTTTTTTTTTTTAGTCGAGTGCAATAATGATCATGTAAAGAGAGAATGAAATGATTTTCGGGTGCGAAATTTTTTTTTTGTAATCTACTCGTTGATTACAAAAGTGCAAGAGAAAAACAAATTTGAAAACCCGAGTTACATTCTACATTGTTAATAATAAAAATCCTTTTTTGTCTAGATTATTACTAAGTTCTTTTTTTTAAATCGATTATTTATTTTTATTTTTCCAAGTGCTCATTACAAAAATTTCGTTAATTTTTTTTTTTTTTTTTTTTTTTTTTCATTGATTAACGCGCGATATCCCAGGCCGTTGTAAAAGTTCGCGTGAGAAGCCAAAACATATGAAGGCATTATTTATATATTATTATTATTATTATTATTATTATTATTATTATTATATATAGGTACGTGTAAATATGGCTTGGGACATTGAGCACTTTTCTAATTTTTTTTTTTTTTTTTTTTTTTATTTTTTTTCTTCTCTTTCCGAATGAATATGAAAATGAAGCTTGTTTTTGAATTTAAATAGAAAAATTTAGCAAAGAAAAAAAATTGATTTAAAACAAGCTTATTTCAATTTCAAACTGAAAAAACTTATTTTATTTAACGAACAAGGAATAAAGAAACAAATTGGCACCGGGCCAACAAAAAAAAAAAACAAATATCCTAGAAAAATATATAATAAATAATATAATTAATAATATGTAGTAGAATCTTTAAAGAAAATATTTTTCAAAATTTAGTATTCAGTCTCTGAAAATAAGAAAAACGTGAAGCAAAAAGAAAAAAAGAAAAAGAAAAAAAAATAGAAACGGAAAATTTCAACTATCTAATTTTGTGTTTTTTTTTTAGTCTAGCCGGAAAAATATACAAATTTGGCAGGCCTTTATGGGTATTTTCCACTTTTTTTTCAAAATCGACGATAGGATGCAAAACCGAGAAACGGAAACGGAAATCTCGAGGCCTGTTGTGATGTTTGTTGCGAATGATTGGGTGAGGTTGATGGCGGTCGTTGAAGGAGCGGAGAACTCGGCCGTTGAAGGAGTGGAGAACTCGGTCGTTGAAGGAATGGAGAATTCTGTTGTTGTTGATTTTGCAACGATGATAAAGGACCGTGCGAATGATGATGATGATGATGGTGATGATGATGGTGTAAATTAGGTAATGGTGGTCGATGATGATGATGATGATGATGATGTGGAAACGAAAGAGCATGATGACAAGGCGAGGAGGATTGCAAATTCTGTACATTGGTTACTGCGCTCAAATTTGTGGTGGCGGAAATATTGAGACTGTTTTGTTGTTGTTGTTGTTGTGGTGTTGGTACACCGGGAATTGTGATATTGCCTGGGATTCGTAATGTGCTAGACGGAAGGGAAAGAGTGCCTGGCGTGAGGTAGTGTAGGTTGAAAGACGGGCGGGGGGGCTAGTAAAGCCTCATACCTTCTTCAAAGTTGACAATCAGAGGATCCACAGCTGGACTTCCAATGAAACTGCCCGCTTCACTGCTACCACGTCCTTGATCAGATTCAGTGCTACTAGCATCGAATTTTGAGTCTTCTAAACCAATGGGTATTGCATTAATTATATTCCTTTTTTTTTTCCAAAAGAAAAAATTAAATAAACAATAATTTAGAGAAAAAAAAAAAAAAAAAAAACTCTTTCCTCCAAAATTATGGCACGGAAAAAAATTTTGGGAATAAAAAAATAAATAAATAACCACAATATCTAATCTCATGGGGATTTAAATTTAAAATAATATTTATATAATATTAATAATTTACTTTCTTGATTATTATTACAATTTTAATGATACAATTAAAATTCATTTGAAGCACTTATAATATATAATACTCTATATATATATATATAAATAGTTTTTAGTCACTTTTGAGGTTATGTTGATTTTCAATTAAAAAAAAACAAACAAACTCTTCACTGTGTTTTAAACCAGATTTTTTTTCCGTGTGTGTGTGTGTGTTTAATGATATTTACTAGACGAGGATTTACCTTGACGAGTTGACCATTCTTGATTAACTGGCTTCGTTGAAATTGTTTCTGATACCTTCACCTGATTAACAGAAGCATTTTGTGTTGGTTTTGGATTTCTATGAAGAAATGGGCAATATGGTTTCATACAACCACTTGGTTGTCCTTCCCAATAACAAGGAATTGACTTGCGATTTTTCTGTAAATTAAAATAAAATTTATAATTCCTATCAAAATTATTGTTAGGTGAAAAAAAAAAAAAATTCCAACTGAAAATTAAATGTAAAATAATAATGAAAAATTTTAAATTATACCTTTAATTCCATATGCCGAAAATTGCAATGCTCATTGAGGCAGCTTCCTTGCTGCCAATAAGAACAAACAGTCTCGCAACCCAATGCTGATGGTTCATGCCTGAACGCACAGTTATCGCCCTGTAATATTTCATTCAAATTAATTTTCCCACAAACAAAAATAAAATTTGCAAAATTCCACTCTTATAAAATCACAATGCGTAAACAATATTTTTACTGCGATTTCATTTTATGGACAATAATTTTTTTTTAATATTTATAGCACACATATATATATATATATAAATGCACAGAAAACATGGCAGAGATCACATGGCATTTTTTTAATATAAAGTATACGAAAAATTTATCGAATTTAAAAAAAAATTATTATTCCTTATTTTTAATTCCAAAGTAATTTTTTTCCCCCAAAAATTAAGAATTTTAAAAAAAAAATTATCGTATACACAAACCAGCTTCAACATGGCCGACATAACCTCAAATTTTTCAACGATTACTCACGCAACACATGGTAGAAGAAAATTTCAATTATTTGATTAAATATATAAAATAAATTCAAATTTTCAAATGTTTTTTAAGAAATGAGCACTATTTTTTTTTTTCTTACCTTAGAGCATTTGGAATAATAATAAAAATAGCAGTCCGTGTTCTTTTGGTTTTGCTCCATTTGTAAAAACCTATAAAACGACGAGTGATCGTGTTCCTTACTGTAAAGGAAAAGAGAAAAAAAAAAAAAAAAAAACAAAGATAGTACAATTTAGAATATATCAAAATTATTATTATAATAATATTAATTTATGAAAGGACAAAATAGTTTCATGAAAATAGGGGGAAAAAAAAAACAAAATTCACGAGAAATGTTATACCATTTCGTACGAAACATGATGTCGAAATTATAGTTTGGGAGTTAAGAGACTTTCTTTGACAGCAATCGAAATATTACTGATGAAAATTGTGGGTTTTCAGTTTTGTTTTGATTTGCAAGGTCATTTTTTTTCTTATTATTAGGAAATTGTCAAAGTATACTTACACTTTCGAGCACTTTTTTTTTTTCTTAGTATATAACTTGGATATTACACTCACGACACTCAATACGACGACGTGCGACGACGCGAACGCAAAGAAGGAAGAAGGAAGAGGAACGACCAACCATAGGAAAGGAGGGGAGAGGAGAGATTATATATATATATATATATGTATATATACATGTATCACCAAACTAAAGTTTGTGCATTTTTTTTTTTTTTTTTTACTTTCGTATTATGCACCAATTTTTTTTTTTTTAATTTTTAGCTAAAAATTTTAATGGAAATTATTTTAAATTTAAATAAAAAGACATATTTTTATGAATAAAATAATTTCTTTAATTGAAGAAAATTTTTTTTCTATATAAAAACGTAATCGATAGTAAAATAGTAATTTATTATTACAACACACAAATATATAATATATACATATCATTGAAAATAAAACTATATATATAATAATAACTGAAAAATTAGTTAATATTGTAATATAAATAATTTTCTTAAAAATAAAATTTGTATATTAATATATTCGTTTTATTAAAAATTATAATAATTATTATGTCAATTCGTTTTTTTTTTTTAATATGCGTGTAATTAATCGAACTTATATATTTCTCAGGCACTTAAATCGAATAAAAAAAAAGGGAAATTAATTAATATTATGCTTGACAATATACAATTCGCAAATTATGGCTGAGTTCCTTAATCAAAGGAAATTTAATTCACAAATTGTATTTTAATTATATACTTATATTTAGAAAAAAAAAGAAATTTCTATATGTGCATTTTTTTTTAAATGTTTCTATTTTATAATTCTTTTAATATCTTTAATTCCTAATAATTTATATAAAAATGTATATTTCATTTAACATTCAATTTAATGTTATTAAAATTTAAATTATTGATTATATTTACAAAAAGAAGTTTTTTTTTTCTATTATAGAGAAATAATTCAATCATTCGATTAAAATGATTGAGAAGACTTTAATAAAATTACAAATATATAAACAACAAAGTGAAAAGTTTTTTTTTATTGTTATTTATTCTTTCAAATGAAAGAAGAACTTTTCACTAATATGGAATTTTTTTTTTTTTTTTGATTTTCAATTTGATACAATTCCATTTTCAATTTTTAAACAACTATCTAAGATTTCAATTTGTTATATATATATTTTTTTTCATATGATTAATACTATGATATGCGCGAAAATGTATAGAAAATTTTTTTAATTTATAAATGAAGAGTCTAATCAGGAATTTTCCTTGAGAACACAAATATAGTAAAAAAAAAAATTCTATTGTATAAGCTAGCAGACCTTAAATATACAATATTTCAGGAGAATTATTTTATCACAAAATAGAATAATATATATCACGTAACGAAACATCGAAAGCACATATGTGAGCAAAAATATAATTATAAAAAGAAAAACTTAATGGTTTATTAAAATAAAAATATTTTAACAACTTTCAAAGCAGTTTAAAAAAAAAAAATACCCGAAAACAAATATTTAGTCTGTCGTTGCATTTAAGAAAAAAAATCGGATGGACAGTCAAATAAAAAGTTAGTATGTTTTTTTAAATAAAAACAAAATTTTTACTAACTTTTGTTCCGATTTTTTTTTTGTAAATAAAATATAACAAAATATTTAATTTCCATCACCGGCTCAAGATATAAAATGAACATTGTTCTATTTTTTTTTTCTTAAAGAACATTTTAGATTAAAAATAATAATTCCATCTAGAGATTTCGATATACAATAAATATACATATTATGTACAATATTTGAAACATCCTCTAATAAATATATATAAACTAATACGAATTTTTTCTAAAATTGTAACATTCACTTTGATAAAGGAGAAAATTTAATTAGTATTTTTTTTTTTCATTCATTCTCTGAATCTAAAATATGTCAGTCGAATTTTTCTCTGGAATAGAATAATAGAATTTTTTTGTTTTCTTTTTTTTTTTTTGAACTGGGTGGCAGTTACACTAGCTAAATTTTCATATTGGAAAACACAAAAATGTAAAATCGATATCAAAGAAATTTCGGAAAGACTATAATAATAATTATTAAAAAAAAAGGACCTAGGATTTATTGGCGCTGCAACATTTGGAGCAATCAAAGCAACTAGTGTGCTATCTTTTCATCGACCATGAAGTTCGATTACTATTACTAGGTCCAGCTCCAGCAAGTTGACCCTGAAGATTCGTTACAGTTTCTTGAAGTGATTTTTTTTCTTTCATAAGAATTGAAATATTTTCCTGCGATATTTCTAAACACGATCTTAACATATCGGATTCTTCTTTAACAAATCGTAATCGTGAATTTTCATCAGCAAAACGTTCTAATGCCGCAAGACGTCGTTTTAATTCTTCATTATCAGATTTAAATTGCTTACAAGATTGTCGTAAATTATTTAATTCAGCATCGTTTCTATTTTGTATGGTACCATTTGATAATATTGGATTTGAATGACTTTCCAAAAGAGTGTTTACTGGAAAAAAAAAAGAAATTTTTTTTTTTTTTCAGAGCAAAAAAAGAAAATTATTTATCATATCATGCAAATACATTTCACGTGCGCATCTAAAGGTATTTTATATGATTTAAAGGAAATATGTAAAGGGAGAAAAATTAATTTTGTTTTTTTTTTATGTAATTGAAAAAAATAATCTATATCTACTTGTGTTGAACTAATGCTCACATTCGAAGATAACCCTTCTGAGTGCACAGAACAATATTATTATAGAAAAATTAAAAAACGATAATTTCTTAATACAAGACAATAATATATTATTAACAAAGGCCTATAGAGCATTTTAAATCAATAAAAATTTTACTTTAACAACACTTTTCAAAATTCAATCAAAAAGAAAAAAAAAACTCATAGGCATCTAATTTTGCAATTTACTATATTAAATACTTTAAGTTGAACAAACTTGAAAATAAAAATACATCAGGTCTCGGAGGGACGAATAAAAAAAATCTCATTAAGATATTTACAAAACGAAACTCAAAAAATTGATTTTATTTAAAATAGACCTCGAATCGACTTTAAGGCACAAAAAATTTTCCCATTAAATTTTATTTAATTCCTACCTCTCTCAAAAAAAAAAAAATTTACTCCGAGCCCTGCAAATTAAAATTAAATTCTAAAAAACAAATTCTTACCAACTGGTTCAATGTGAAAAACCCCATCAATTCCTCGTAATATCCTTAGTCGTGAAATAACTAAATCAATTGGTATTGGCCCAGGAGATGTTATATTATTTGGAGGACGATCTTCGTTTAATGTTAATCCAATGTTTTCCAATAAGATCTAAAAATTGATAAATATAAATTTAAAATTTTTCTTATAGAAAATTAAATATCTATTTAAAATTTCTCATATTTAATTATTAATTTATTTTGTATTTTATTTTTAAATTAATTTCAATATTTCTCTTTGATTGTAAAAATTAATTAATTAATTATCATAAACAAACCTCAACTGGAATTGGTTTGGGAATAATTTCATCCTCAACTAAATCGGTAAGGCCAGTAACTGAACTCATACACAATGTTAAATTAACATTTGAAACTTTGACATTTACATGATCTTTAAATAAAGCCATGACACTTTGCTTATCACAAATGTTAAATCCAGAAATTTCCGATTCAATATCATTAAATCGTCCTCGATCCTGAGAATTTCGACTACTACCATAAGTACTTTGACTTGCTTGAGATAATCTTCTTGAATCTTCTTTATCCTTGAGACAATGATCTAATCTCAATTTAATTTTTGCTCTACACTCTGAATCAGATGGCAATTCAATCCAACCACGGGTTCTCGAACTGAATTTTGTCTAGAAAAATTGAATTGCAATTTCAATTCTTTGTATGAATTGTAAAATTTTTTTTTTTAAAGCAGAACTAAATTTTTTAAATTGTTCTAATTCTAATTACATTTTGCATTTTTCCTTTTATTATTTATAATTCACTAACATATAATTATGTACATGTATAAATAGTTTAATATACCTGTTCAATTTTATTTTATAATAATTCTTTTCTCGATTTGTTTTTTTTTTAACTATTGATTAAACAATATCAAAACACAGAAAGCATTGAGGTATGCAAAGCTGCAATATTCGTCCAAGGAATATCACATTTTATATACATATTAATTAATTAAGGCATGCGCGTTTTTTTTCTGAATTATCAAGCCCAAGCAACAATTTACAAGCCGATTTTTTTTTATTTATTTCACTTTTTTTTTTTTTACTATTCCTATACTAAATTCAAAGTCTTGGAAAATACAACAATAATTTCGACTCGGACTTTTTTGTTTTCAATAAAAAAAAAAAAAATGAATTCTAAATTTCTTTCTTTTATCTATATAAATGTTTCAAAAAAAAATATCCTAAAACTAAAAATCTTGTTTCAAAAGAAATGAATGAACAGAGAATTTAAAAAAAGAAATTTTCTTTTAGCCTGACTATATCGAAACACAATTTTTTTATATTATATTCTAATAAACTGAATTCATTTTTTTAGTCTCACATGCATCGTCATTGGGTCTAATTAAATTAATTATTATTATTATAAATATTTTTGCCAATACCTTTCCCTTGGCCTGCCACAAGTGCCACATAAAAACATTCACAAGAGAAGGAGAGACGCGGGAGAAGGCATGCAAAAAAATTTTAAAGACAAAAATTGTATAAATATGTAATTAAAAATGTTTATATTAATATAAATATGAATATTGTTTGTATATAATAATAATAATAATAATAATAATAAACATTGATAAAAGTTTATTTAAAAAAACAATTTATAAATAATTTTTAGAAAAAAATTTTTATAACGTGAGAAAAATTTGTTAAAAAGCGAAATGTGATTTTACTTTATCTAATTATAAATATACTAAAAAGTACAGTATTATTAATTAAAAAATAAAAAAAGAAAAATAGATTAAAAAATTCTAAAATGTATTACATGTGTAATATAATAATAATAATAATAATAATAATAAAGTACTGCGATATGTGTCATCAATATACGGAAATATTAATTTGTCTCGCAATTAAAGGATAATTAGTTAAAAATTGAGAAAAAAAAAAAAAAAATGTTGAACAATAATCTTACCTGAAATTCATCCCAAGGTATTGAGGAACACTCGTCACTGGCAATATTTGAGACTTGAACTTTTATAGATGATGAAAATCCATTTGATTGTTGAATAACTTCAACTTTTGATAATTTGAATGTCACCATTGAAACCTAGATTTAATTAATTAACGATTAAAATTCAAAAAAAAGGGGGACAAATTGAAATCTAAAGAATTAAATTGTAATGTAAAATCAACTCACTAAATCTTTTCTCTTACAAACGCTGTCTAATGATTTTTCACTTTGTGTATCGGGCGTTTCTTCAATAACTTCACTAGCCTCTTCAACAGCAGCAACTCTTATTGAATTATCCAATGCAAATGTTGCATCCATTTTCTCTTGATCCTCCAATGAAACAACAACATAATTTTCACTATCAGAACTTGCATCACTTCTCATTGAAACAGTATCACTACATCCATCCTCAGGCGATGGTTTCAATGCCGAATCCAATGATGTCATTAAATTACTAAATCCCTTTTTCATTGATGATAAACTTAAATTATTTGAAATAAATGGTGAATTTGTTGTACTTTCTAATTTTACAATATTCTCAGGTCTTGTTCTCATTGTTTTTTTCTCAATTTGTTCTGAATATTTATTATTTGTTCCATTTTGTTGTTGAAATGTAACAACTGGCTGCGATTGCATATTCATATGTGAAAAATCCATTGAAAGCATTGATGAAACTTCACTTTGTGGTGTTTCAACATCATTACTTGTATTCATTCGTTTTGTACTATAATCAACGCGTGCCGCTGTTGCATTTGTTTGCCATAATGATGATGAACCACCAAATTCAATATCGGCAATACTTGAAGAATCGGGAACAACTGATTCTAAATCACCACCTGAATTTTCCTTTCCTGGCGTTTGTGATGGCATAATAAATGTCACTTCAATCTACAAAATTAGGGGGAAAAAAAATTAATGAAATAGAAAAACAAATTATTATTTTCTAATTTAATTTTTCTAATTCAATTATTTTCATATAAAAATTATATAAATTTTTTTTTCGTCTGTTATGAATCGTAATTTTCAATTTATAAATATTAATATTAATTCCATACCTGTGGAATTAGCGCTCCAATGACTATTGAACTTCCTCTTTCGACTTTGAGAATTTTATTTGAATCAACATTCAAATAAGTAGCCATTTCAGTTACAGCTTCTGAGAGTCTCAAGAGAAAAAGAAATTGATAGTGATTTATTTGTACACTAATTAGATTACTAATATAAGCAAGGCCATGTATATCGGCTGATGGAATTTTAGAAGAAGATGATGATGATGATGATGATGAAGAAGTTGTATTTTCACTAGTTGTATCCTCTGTTTTCATATGAATCCAAAGTGTTAATGGAAAAGCATCTAAAAATGGAACTGGACGATTTTGACCCACGGCTCTTGCACCAAAAAAATCACCCCAAACTGGCTCGAAATTACAGCACCAAACATCTTTTGCCTCCATCCAAAGAAGTTCACGTTTCAATTGACGTACCATTTCATTCACTGAATTACTGCTAAAATTATCGGGAACTGATCTAATTCTGTCTGTGCCTAAAAATTTATATAATCAACAAATTTATCTTCTATATAAAATTATAAAAGTATAAAAAAACAAATATAATACAGAATTGCCACAAAATTACTGAAATTAAATTTTAGTATTAATATAATTTGATCTTCAAAAATTCAATTATTTAGCTACTCTGAATATAAAAAAAAAATGTATGAAAAATATAAACAAAAAAAAAAAAGAATATTTTTCATTACCTGCGCAATGTTGTAAAAATTTCTCCGTCACAACATGAAAATCCTCTGGATTATTAGGAAATTCAGTACCAAAAAACATTTGTCCCATTTGAAATGCATTGAGACATTGTGCTAAATCGGCTCTCGATGATCTTTCCGTTGATCTCACATTTGTTATAGTTGCTCTCGATGTTTGTATATGAAGTGATTTTGGCCTGTCTTTTTGATTTGGATAATCCTGTTGATTTTCAAAAACCACCTGAAAATTAAATTTATAAAAAAAAAATGTTGTATTTTAAATTAAAAGTCTAGTATTTTTTTTTTTTTTTAAGTTTCAAAAACCAAATTTTCTTACTCTTGGTAATATTGATTCAATTTTAACATCAAAATACATGAGATTTGCTGTGTTTGTCGCTGTTTTCTTATCGTCACCCAATAATGAATAATAAAGATTCAAGAGAAATGAATTAAACCAAAGACAAGAACAAATGTCAAAATTTATTTGTATTGGATTTAGTTGTACATAAAATTTTGGCAATGGTACTGGAATAAAAGAAAGGAAAAAATTAGATAATTTTACTGAGAAAGAAAAATTACTTCAAAGATAAAAATAACTTACGTGGAAATGTAATGTCACCAGGATAATAATAGTAAGTAAATTCAGCATGAAGAATATTAACATCTTCGGGAAGACAAAATCTGTCTTTATCACCTAGAAAAAAAAAGAAGAAATATTCATTTGAAATTTACAAATTCGAGAAACCAAAAAAAAAAACAAAAACATGCTCAATTTTCGCGTAATTAAAAATATGAAAATAAAATTTCTATATTTATATTATATAGAAATTTAAAATTAAAAAGAAAAATTAAATTTGCTATTTTGTATCTAAATTTTTAGTTTAAAAACAAAACAAAATTTTAAATACATCAAAATTTTATGTGACAAATCTAGTCTTTTATACCTGGTGAATGCTTCTTCCTCGATTGAGCTGTGCAATATAGTTATAAGAAAAAAAATATTATTGACAAATCATAAATTTTAAATAATCGTTAAATTTCATTTTACTTTTTTTTTTTAAAAAAAAAAAGGAAATAATTATAATACCTAAAACAAATTCTTTTGGTATTGGCTTTCGAGTTGCAGTTGTAACTTTATAGAGAGTGAAGTCATCAACTCGAATTACAATACATGTCGTCATTAATTTTGCCAATTGTTCAAGTACATGATTTTTCACAGGATTTCCACTTGGTTGTGAAGATGGTTTTTTCTCTTGCGATCCGCTACTTTGAAGTGAAGGCTTATCAGATTCATCACCGCTTGATTTCATACTATTACCTATAATTAATGATAAGAAGAAAAAATTTTTGTAATTATCACCAAAATAAAGATTCAGATAATTGAATTTTCGAAAAATATTTTAAAAATTATTAAAAATAATTGAATTTCAAGTATTTTTTTTTAAATTTCAAACAATAATTAAATTTTACAGAATTGAAAATAATTTATCAAGTTATTTATTAATATTAATTAATGTTTATCAAAATATTTTCTTTTATGTTAATAAATAAAATTTAAGAAATTGAATAATTTTATGCTTTTCAACAAAAGGGGAATTTAAATTTGCGCAATGTTTTGTTATTTTTTTATTTTTTTTTTAAATTAAAATAACTCACCACTTGCATTCGCTTGTGTGCGAGTTAAAGGTGAATGTTGAGTTCTACCCGAATCAATAAGATCCATAAATTGCCCTCTAAAAGCATTTAAAGATTGTTGTAACCATTGACTATGAGGAACAGCACTTTCTTTATAAAGAGCCCAATGTTTTCTGTCAGCAATTGCCAAATGATATGGATAATAATCAACTTGAAATTTAACCAATGAAATTTGTAGAGCGCCACCATCTTGTAAATCAGGATGAAGAGATCTACCAACTGTAAAAAGAAATTATTTTTTTTTTTTCCAAATTAATAAATAAAATTTTAATTTATTTTTATAGAATAAAATTTTTCACCTCCAGGATCATCGCACAAATGTAAATCAATTCTTTGCGATAGAAAATGATAGGATGTTTCAAAAACATCGTATCTTGAAAATATTTTCGATATTGGTGTATGACTGGCGCTTTTTGATCTTGTTTGCTGTGAAACTTGTGCCTGATATTCTGGCAAACACTAAAAAAAAAAGTTCAAAAAAAATAAAATTTTATATATAAATTTGAATTTAAAAAAAAAAATCAATTACCTCCAGCTTACGAGCAGCTTTTGTTTTTCTTTCAAGAATCGTTGCTTTTTCAATTAAACCACCCAATGAATCGATAAAATGAAGAGCAGCCTTTAATTGAGAATCAGTCAATACCCAAAGAAGATCATCTAAAATTATCACTAATCTCGATCCTATTACAAAACAATCTGTAAAAAAAAAAATCAAATAAAATTATTATTTCTTTCAAAAATCAAATTCATTTTTCAATAGATATTTTCTCTTTTCTAACCAGAAAGTCTTTTTTTAATTGTTATTCTACATCGTGCTTGATTGGTTAATAAACGAAGTGGCGTAAGATCTTTGTCTTTTGTACTCCAAGCTTCAATTCTCACTGTTTGCCATTCGAGTTCCTTGAAAATTAACAATTGTCCCCGATCAGGATCTTTAACTCTTGTCATTCTTAAATCACTACGCTGCCAAGCTGGTGATTTTGATTCCACCATTATACGTGACATCTACAAAAAAAAATTATATTTTTATATATATATCAAAAATTAACCAAAATTTTATTTCAAAAATTCCCTCACTTTTCCCTAACTAAAAAAAACTTTTGAATTATTTAATATTCTGCATTGTTAATTGAAATTTTTTTAATGCTTTTTAAGTAACAATTTCAGTCACAAAGAAAAAGATAAGATAATTCAAAAATTGTTTAATAAGAAAATTTTATTATATTCAAAACTTTTATTATAAAAAAAAGTAAATACTTTGAAAAATGAACGGCAATAATGATATTACAAAAACGTTTAATTAAAAAAAAAAACTGAATTAACATTTATGTATCAGTTTTTTAATTTGTGGTTTCTTTTAATCAAAATTCCCTGACTTTTTCCTGACTTGCGGCCACCTTGTAATTAAAACATTAATTTTTATTTACGATAAACAAAATTAAATAAAATAATTGATTGTAATAAAAAAAAAACATTTTAATATTCTTATCTTTTGTGAATTATATTAATTATATTCGCTTTTTATTCACCTGAACTTTAGCAATAAATGCTGGACTTTTAAATTTCACAGAAACAGTATTAACAGCAACTGTTATTCCATCGATTACTTTGTGAATAAAAGAATATTTTGCCGGTCCACCATAAGAGGATAATCCTTGTGGAGTTGACATACTTCTTAAATCTTCGACAGTTTCAACTTCAATATGAACTTCATCTAAACTCTAAAAAAAAAGAAAATGTTTACAAAAATTTTACTAATTTAAAAAAAAAAATTTTTTTTTGTTTTTTTTCAAAATATTACCAGAAAAATAGGAACACTTTTTAATTTTGTCCATTGTATTCGAAATGTCACTTTATTACACCAGGATCTAGTTAATCGTAACCATGACGGTAATTCTAATAAATCTGTTAAAACTATTTCATCCAATTCTAAATTAGAGAGTTCACCTTCTCCTTTAAATGTACTTAAATTAATTTTATCCGCTGATAAATTTTTTGTAAATCTAAAACATAAAATATATATTTCATTTTTTTCACCCCTATCAATTATTATTATTATTATAAACAATTTAAAAAGACATTTTTTAAATCAAATATTATTTAACTAAAAGAGAATTTCTAAAATATTCTACAGTTGAACAAAGAATAGTAATTTTTAAATTATTGAAAAGTCTGCAACTTTCACGTTAAGTGCTTCATAAAGAAAGTATGTTTAATATTCTTTTTTTGAATAATAAAAAAAAAAAACGCCAGATATGTTATGACAGAGAGTAGAAGAGACCAGCTGATATTGTCAAAAAAAAAGGATAAAAAATAGAATTGTATTAAATTTTTTTTTTTTTTAGAAAAAAAATAAAAAGCTTATAGAAAGTTATTAAAAATAAAATACGTAGTTATTGATAAAAGGATAAAAATCTCTCTCATTTATATTACGAGCTAGATGTCAAGGGCGGTGCAATTTACCTGTCTATTAAAAAAATATTAACAAAAAATACAAATTTTTAAAACAAATGAAAAACAGAAACATACCTCGAAAGATGTTTTAACAACTGATTTTTTATTATTGACACCATTTTAATGATTATTAATTACTTTTTTATAATGACATGATTATTCCTCTTTTCTCGTCTTCTGTGTATACTACACTATCACTACCAACGTGAGAACAAAAAAAAAAAAGTGTTTTTCACGTATGCCAACATAATAAAGGAAACCGGTGCATTATTTATTCATAATAATATAAATATTCAATTTTTAAAATCAGAGTTTAAAATTCAATGTTAATATAATAATTAAATTTTAAATACATATTCATTAATTACTTATTAGATTTAAAAATATTATTATTAATTTTTAATTTACGCGCTAAACACGGAGCGACATCTCTTGCATTAACATTGAATTAAATAAAATTCGATTTCTCAAATCTGTCAAAAAGAAAAACCCCCCTTTTAAACTTTAACCTCTAAAAAAAATTGTTTATTTACTTCTTCCATGCGTCTGTATTTACTTTGATAAAAAAAAATATTAAATATTATTGATAATAAAAATTCATAAATAAAAACATTTATTTAGAATTGTAAATATTGAAAAGAAATTTCTTTCGCAAAAAAAAGTGCAAATATAACTACTATAGTTCCTTGACCTATTATCTATATTTTTTTATTTTATAAAAAAAATTAAATATTGTATTCTAAATTTTTTTTTTGTAAACGTATACACGTTTATAATGATAGGAATGTGTGGGAAAGGGAAAGGAAAACATTCACGCGTGTACAAGTGTCAAATGATGAGTTTGTGAATCAACACACCAGGTTTGGCTTCATTATAGGCCGCCACACATATAATTTTTTTAACCCAAAAATAAAAACGTGCTTGGAATTATTCATAAAAGTATGTACTATTTTTTTAAGTTTATAATTAGTATTCAGATCATCTTTTTCTGTTATTTTGTAAAGAAATGAAAAAAAAAAATAAACCGATTGGAAAGTCTAAAAATTTAACATCCTAAATTTAGTAACGTGGCAGATTTTAAAGCAGAAAGTTTCATATTTGTGTGATTATTATTATATCTAATTTTTTTTTTTTTTTATAAAGATTTCTTAAATTTAAAAATTTATTTTTAAAAAGAGTAGAAGTTTTAAAACTTTTTTTTTTTTTTTTTGTTAAAAAAAAGTAAATAATGAAATGAAAATGAAGAGACGAAAGGTAAATTTTAACAATAATTGTAAATTTTTCAGTAAATTTCTAGTTTAGAAAAAAAAATTTACCGCTTTTTTTTTAATAGAAAACATGGTCTCCAGTGGCGCATGTTAATCATCAATTTCAAGACAATAATTCTCAAAATTTATTTACTATGTCAAAACATCATCAACGTAAGTTAAAATTTTGTAATTTTCTTTAATTAATTAATTTTGTTTTTTTTTTTTTTTTTTTTTAGTTATATCGAGAAAAATTTAGTTGTAAGATAATTGTAAAATAAGATTTCTGTAAAAAGACAAAAAAAAAAAAAAGAATTGTTAGGTATTTTGCAAAATTCAAACTAAAATAAAATTTTTCATTTCAGAAAATAGTCAATATCTCAAGTACATGAGCCTTGTTACTCTTTCAGTTCAAAATGCTCTTGTTAGTCTCAGTATGCGATATTCTCTCATTAGGCCTGGGGAGAGATTTTTATCATCCACTGGTTTGTATAAAAAATTATTCATTCGAATGATACTAAAATAATAATAATAATAATACTTTCAGGCCTCGAATCGACTTTAAGGAATAAAAAAAGTAGTTTTTGTCGATTTATATTCCAAAAAAAAAGTCGATTTTTTTATTTTAATAAAATTTAATTGATTAATAAATATTTTACTTTAAATAAATAATATTATTAGTTATTAAATTTATTTTATTAATTCTGTAATAAGAATAATTCTATAATGAATATTATCAAGAAAATTTATTTCAAATATTTCAAAATCAAACTAATTGTAAGACAAATTTTACAAAATTTTTATTTAAGGGGAGTCACAACTTTTATTTTGACCCACTTAAATTTAAATTATTAAACGAGGTTATATTTTTTTTTGCATCATTTGGGTCCTAAAAACATATAAGGTAGTCAGAAAAAGAAAATTTTATTTTTTGACCATTTTAGAATTTTTATTTTTTAAAAAAAATAATATTTTTGAAAATCCATGCGAGAGATTCTAAAGAATTATTAAAAAAGTGTGGAAAAAATTTGGCGATAAAAAATACTTAAAATTGTAATAGAAGATACATTTTAATAGAATAGTGCAATGATGTTTTAACCTATATTTTTCTCTCTTTTTTTTAAAAAATTCAAATTTTTGAAAATCCATGCGAGAAATTCTTAAGAATCATTAAAAAAGCGTGGAAAAAAATTGGCGATGAAAAATAGTCAAATTTGAGAAAGAAGATAGATATTTAAAATATTAATTTTTTTTAAGAAATTAATTTCTAAAATGGTCAAAAATTTTATTTTTTTGACCATCATGTATGTTTTTAGGACCCAAATGATGCAAGAAAAAAAAATATCTTTCTACGATCATGAAAATGTAAAGGATTCAAAATGAAGGTTGTGACTCCCCTTAAGTCGGACAAATTTCTAAAAAAAATTCTTAAAATTACATTTTTATAATTTTTTTAAAGCCTGATTTAAGCAATGTTTTCGAATTAAAAATTTTATCATAGTTTTTATGGTCAAAAAATGATTTCAGGCAATACTTAAACAAGTTTTACAGATTTTTAAATAATAATTTTGAAAGAGTTAAAAGTTGAAATTTTGAGAAATAATTGAATTTTTAAAAGATTTTGTTAATTTTCAAGACAATAATTAAATTTTACAGAACTAAAAATAATTTATCAAATAATTTTAGTTAGACATTTTTTTAAAAATGTAATTGAATTTTCAAAGATTTACAAAATTTAGATTTTTTGAAATTAATTGAACTTCAAGTGATTTTTAATTAAAAATTTTTGATTATTTCACTAAAAAATTTATTAAAAATTGCAGACAAAAATACAATAATTCGAAATTTTTTTTTTAAGTGAAAAATTGTTTCAGATAGTTGAATTTTCGAAAAATATTATGAAAATCATTAAAAATAATTGAATTTCAGTAGAGTTTTAATTGAAATTATTAAATTTCAATACAAATTTTAGCTGGGAAATTTTAGAAGCCTTTGAATTGAAATTTTTTGAATATAATTGAATTTCAAAAGGTTGTGTTAAATTTCAGTAAATAATTAAATAATAAGAGAAATTTTTAATGATTTCTGTTGATGAAGAATTTATTAGAAATCACATAAAAAAAATTGAATACCAAAAGTTTTTAATTGAAAAATGCTTTTAGATAAAATTAAATTTTCTAAAAATATTTAAAAAATCATTAAAAGTAATTGAAATTTTTGAAAATAATTCAATTTTAAGTGATTTTGAATTAAAAATTTTTGGTAATTTTATTTGCTAATTTTTTAAAAATTATAAACAATTATATTAAATTTCATAAAAATTTTAATTAAAAAAGTAGTTTAAGATAATAAAATTTGTGAAGAATTTTCATTAAAAATTATTAAAAATAATTAATTTAGTGAAGAATTTTAGTTAAAAATTTGTTAAATAATTGAAATAAAAAAGATCTAAAGAAGATCTGCATTCTATACTTAAAAAACGTATTTTGTTAAAAATTTTTTTTTTAAATGTGAAAAAAAAATTTAAAAAAAGTCGCATTTTATTAAATAAGTCTAAAAAAAAGTCATATCATAATCCGAGGCCTGTATTTTTCTAGCAATAAAAATTTTATTTTAATTTTTATTATTATTTTTGATTTTGATTTTAAGTTTTTATTATAAATTATTATTGGATTTAATTAGTATTTTTATTATATTACTTATTAAATTCAATTAAAAATTTAATTACAATTATCAAAATTTTAATGAAATAAAAAATTATAAAATAAACAAAAAAGAACTCAAATATTCTCAATAAGGATAATGAAATTTTTTCAAAATATGATTTTTCTAAATTAAAAATCAATGGTTTTTTTTTTTGACTAATTTATTCACAGGGAAAAAAATTTATTTTCAGCGGTAGTAATGTCCGAAGTAGTAAAACTTATCACTTGTTTAAGTCTTGTTTTCATTGAGGAAGGAAATTTTTCAAAATTCTTTAATTCTCTTAATACAACAATTATTAAACAACCAATGGATACATTGAAAGTTTGCGTGCCATCATTAATTTATATTATACAAAATAATCTTTTATACGTATCAGCGTCAAATTTAGATGCAGCAACTTATCAGGTATTTTTGTTTTTTTTGTTTTAATAGAATAAAATTTCAATTATTCTAAAATAATAAGTATTCTAATTACAGGTTACTTATCAATTGAAAATTTTAACAACTGCCTTCTTTGCTGTTGTTATTTTAAGAAAATCACTTCATCGATTACAATGGTTGGCATTATTTTTTCTTCTCCTTGGCGTTATTCTTGTTCAATTAGCTGAGAATGGCCCACAAAAAGTGCCATCGGGAATTGAACAAAATCGTCTTCTTGGATTTGGTGCGGCATTAACCGCATGTTTTCTCTCAGGATTTGCGGGTATTTATTTTGAAAAAATTCTCAAAGGTTCGGATATTTCTGTTTGGATGAGAAATGTACAATTAAGTCTTCTCTCATTGCCATTTGGTTTATTTACATGTTTAATGAACGATGGCAATGTTATATTAGAAAAAGGATTTTTCATTGGTTACGATTGGTTCATTAATTATTTAGTATTATTACAAGCGTGCGGTGGTTTAATTGTTGCATTAGTTGTCAAACATGCTGATAATATTTTAAAAGGATTTGCAACATCATTGGCAATTATTATTTCATGCGTTGCGTCAATTTATTTATTTAATTTTCAACTTTCTTATCAATTTACGTCCGGTGCTTTTCTTGTGATGTGTTCGATTTTCATGTATGGACATCAACCAAAAAGTTTGGCGAACAATAAACACTCGCTTCTAGAAAAAATATGATGAGATTTGTAAAGAAAAAAAAAAGAAAAATTAAGAGAATTTATTTATATTGTAAAAAAAATGTTTATATTAATTGAGTATTAAAAAAAAATTTTACACACAAAATAAGACATGTAATGGCTAAAATTGAATGTCGCCTATTGTTGAAAGTATTATAAACTTTAAACAAAAATTAAGTTAGATTTTATGTCAAAAGAAGAGAGAGAGAGAAAAAAATATATATATATATATATATAAATATTTTTCTACATAGTTTATAACGAATACGATTTTTGTATTCTTCTTGTACTTAAAAAAACAAATTATATATGTAAATTATTCAAATAAATGCAGTTTTAATTTAAAATGCAGACACTTATTAATAATGTAACTAACTATTCTAGAAATTATTTTCCAATTCAATTTTGTTTTTAAATTTAATTTACAAATTTTTGTCGATACTTAAAATAAAGTTAATTTTAATTCTATAGTTTCAAATAACTAGATAAATATCTTCAATAATCTTTATTAATTTATAAATACAACAGAATTGATTTTTTTTACATGCACACTATATTTACATTTGATATATAACATTACTTTTTTTTTTTTTTTTATCACTGAGACTCAGATCTTTGCTAAATTAGAATTTAAATAAATATGGACAAAAATATAATTAAAAAAAGAAAAATATATAAATAATGCGGTCAATATAATTTGACTTTCATCTATAGAATTATAATGTTCATAGCAGTTTGTAGATTGCAGAATTCGTTGGAAGACAATCGAACTATTATAAAGTGTAGAAATCTTTTTTTTTTTTTTTTTTTTTTAAACTTCGACACGCATTCACACTTAACAAATTACAAATTTACTATACAGTTACATATACGCTTCGATGTGTGATTTTTCTATCATTATTATAAAAAAGCAGTTGGCAGACATTTAGTAAAAAGACATTTTATAGTCTAGAGTATGTTTCAATTTTAATTAACTATTTTTTTTTTTCTTGTAAAACATTCTTTTTAAATGAAATATTTCTGTCCTTTCTGTAATTTTCTATTCTATTTTCTATTAAATCAAGATTTCTTCATTTCATGAGAATTTTCTATTTTATTTCATTTTATAATTTTCTATTTTTTTTCTTTGCATATATATATAGTTTTATATTAAATAATTTAATTTTTTGTCATTCATTGTTTTATTTTAAAAAATTTTCACTCTTTCATTAGGAATTTAAACCATTTTTCGTGGTCCACTTTTTCCCGTATAATAAATAATCTCTAATTAATTAACAACAATAGATACAAACTCTTATTTACAAAATTTACGTTCGATACAAATTGAATTTTGAAATTTTTTTTTTGATTATTTTTGATTTATAAAAAAGATACTTTTTTTCTTTCGTATTTTAATTTAAATTTGAAAGCGCAGAAAAAGTTGAAAAGTTAAAAAGTGTTCAAAGGCTTTTTTTTCCATTAGACATAATATTTTATGTTCGTAATGTTTTGTTTTTCTAAATTGTATTTTTAAAATTACGTTTATATTTTGCAAAATCGTAATCACCTTTCGAAATATATATTTAAAAATGTGATTTTACTTTCATTTTTAAAAGTTTTTAAAGAAATACACATTCTTGTACTGATTGTATGTGTTTTCTTTTTATCTACATTTTTTTGTTCTTTTTTGGAAAGATAATCACTAATAATTATCACTATAAAACAAATGCGCAAATATTTTCATATATACAAAATACGCATTATTCAACAATAACTTTATGAATCGAGATTCGACTCTTGATTCGAGATCACAGCCTCGCAATAATAATAATAATAAACATAAAAATAAAAACCTTTTTTCAGTCCTCAGATTGAGATAAAAGCCAATGAGATTCAAAAATTGCACGAAAATTCGAGGACTAGATTTTTCATGATTTAGGATGTAAGAGCCAAACCTAATCTTGCGAAAACCATTTCCTTCCTTAGGCGATTGATTTCCCAGTAAATATCATGAACTGCAAAAGAAAATTTTTTAATTTTTATTCTGTTTATTTATTTAAAAAAAAAGAAATTAAAAAGAAATTTACCTGAACTTTTGACAAGACCACGTTCAATATAACGTAGATAATTAAGAAAATCACAAACCGCTATAATCTAAAAAATTCACAGTAAATTGCATTAATTTTGCTTCTTTAAAATAATTAGAAAAAATTAAATTTAAATGTCAAAATTCAAGTACTAACTCTATTACGGCAAATTTGTGAAATACAGTACGATTGATTTTCCTGATCTCCTAATCGCATTCGATAATGACATTGTCTTGCCGCTTCAAGTAAAGCACATTTTCTAGAAGGAAGAAATATAATAAATTTTATTTTAATTTCAAGCTTATAAATAATTTTAATTTAAATAAAAAATAATTTTAATTTAAATGAAAATTTGACTTAAAATTAGATAAAAAAGAATAAATTAAAATTAAGTAAAAAATTAAAATTAAATAACAATTAACTTAGAAAAACATTTTTAAATTAAGCAAATATTGACTTAAAACTAAATAAAAATATTTTAATTAAAAAACACTCACTTTGGAAAGGCAAGTTTTGTTTTATCGCTAACAGCTTCAATGAAAATAATTCCATCTAAAACAGCTTGTCGAACTTTCGCTCCCAAATCCAAGTTTGGAAAATCCAAACAAAGATCAATGTCCTCTCGGAAAATTCTCTCAATAAAAGGATCGCTTTTATCAACAGAGGGATTTATTTTCCATTGAAGAAATTCCGAATGGACTCTAAAAATTTCAGTTCAATTAATCATTTTTATAACTAACAAATAATAATAATAATAAATAGCAAATCTATGTTAACAGTTTTTTTTTCTTCAAAATTCCTTGAAATTTTTCTAACTTGTGACAATATTGTTTAATTGAAAAATTTCCAAACCTAGGATCGACTTCTAATCCAGAATCCTTGCATTCTTTGTCACGTAATTTTTCCCTTTCTCTCTCCCTCTCAATATCTTTTTCCTTCTCTCTCTCCCAATGATTATCAAAACCATTTCTCTCGCAAGGCAATGAGGTTCTTTGTTCTTTTTGTGGTGAATCGGGAGGTGAATTTTCCCTACCATATTTCAAATTAAAATGCGATGGTGATCTTCGATGTTTCTTGGTAAAAAGACTTGCTTGACAATCATCGCCATTTGATGAATTACGTACCCTCGTATCAATTTGTGGATGTAAATGTGGATTAGGACGCGCTGGCGTTGATGTTAATACTAATGTTTTTAAAGCCGCAACTTCAGCTGCCAAAACTTCAGCTTTCATTCTACTTTCCTCTAAAAGACGTTCAGCAGTCGCTTGACGTATATTTGCTTCTCTCACCATATTATGTGCTTCCTAAAAAAAAAATAGGAAAAAAAAAGTATTTAATTCAATTTTTCGTTTTAAAAATAAAAGAAAAATAAATAGTTTTTTGTTTTTAATTAAATTTATTTTCACATTAAAATTTAATTCAACTTTGTTAGCATTCAAATTGAACTTGTTTAAAAATTTCTCACAAAACTTGAATTGGTAAAATTTAATTAGAATTCGATAAAATTTAATTAAAAAAAAAAAAAAATGTTTTTTTTGTTTCCCTTGGGCGGATGGATGAAAAAGAGAAAGAAAATAATTTGCAGAGAAATAGAAAGAAAAAAAGAAAACCCACTTGAAAGAGACTGGCAGTGAGTTCCTCGAGTTCAGCCTCGACGTCTTGTCGAATTCTCGAAAGTCGAGAAACCTCCTCATCTTTCAACTTTAATTCCTCGTGAGCCCTTTTTAATTCTTCCTGCAGCTTAGCGACTGCTTGTTCTTTCACCTCAGCAACTGCTCGTCCCCATTGTAATGCCGATGGCGAAGGTGGAGTTCCACTTCGAATTCTAGTTGAAGTGCAATCTTCTCTTTCCATCTGAAATCGAGACGAATAAAACATGAATTTTCAACAAGATTTTCATTATCTCTCTCTCTCTATCTTTCTTTCTTTCTCTCACTCTCATTACCAAAGGTTTCTAAAATTCAATTTTAACTTTCAAATACATTTTTTTTCGCAAATCTTTTTATTTTAAATATTTTTCTAAAAATAAACAAATTTTCAGTTTTTTAAACTAAACAATAAAATAAATATGGAAAAAAATTATTTAAAATAAAAAAAAAAAATGGTAATTAAAAATTCTTTGTAATTTTCAAAAAACAAATTGTTTTTTTTTCGAAATTCAAAATGAAAGCCTGAGGGAATAATTGAAAAAAAAAAAAAACTTGACTAATTTCAAACCTGAGATTTGATGAATTGCTCATCATCATCATCATCATTATCAGCGGGGAACTTTCTCGGACTTAATTCGTGATTTTCTCCCGGCCTTAGGTCGGACGATGAACCTGCAACAGCCTCGGGAATACTTGTGTTTGTTGCATCCACGCTCAATCTCCTATCCAATGGCCTTGTATTCTTTTCATTTTCAAACTCTAGCATCTCTTCTTCTTCTTCTTCTTTTATTTTACCGCTTTTCGATTCAATTTCATTTTCAATTTGACTCATCGATGAATCGAACTTTGGTGATTTATCCTTTGTCAAAATTGTCGTTTCTTTGGAAGAACATCGTCGTACACCACGATGAGAAATATTTTTCTCATTGTAGGTGAAGAGCGATATCGTTGTTTTAATGGAGCTGAAAATATATTGAAAATATATTTTTATATCCAGCAAATTTTTGAAAAAAAAAAAAAAAAAATACAAGATCCAAAATAATTCGATTTTTGACGTAGAAACTATTTTTTAATTTATTAATAAAGTAAATTTTTTGTTTCTAAATTATTTTCAATTTAAGATAAATAAGTAAAAAATAAATATATATATATATTTTTTTTCAATTTCTTTTTTCTCTATATACCTTTCAGCGGGAAATTTTTCATCTTCATCAAAGAGACTCGTGGGCTCGACATTTTCATCGCTGTGCTTCTCAACATATCCAAAAAGATCGGTGGCTGCACGCGCAAGATCTGATTTTAATATTGGATGAGGATGCATTGATGTACCCGAACAATCGGCCTCATCGCCATAAAATTCATCTTCATCTGTCGTATATTCCTCATCACCTGTGGTACCCGTACTTCCGGCTCTTCTATGTTTCGTTGTTAATGGACGATAGGCATATTCACTTCCTCCATTTACAGAATCACTTGAATCCATAGAATTTGGCTGTTGCTGCTCCACAGCTTTCATCGCGTTTTTCCAACCCCCAGGATTCTGTAACAAATAAACAAAAAAATCATTAAAAATTTAATTATTGATAAATTTTTATTTTTAAATTAAATTTCCACTTAATACAAAAATTAAATTTTCATTATTAAAAGTAAAATTTAATTTTCCAAAAATTTAAAATTAAAATCTCTATTTAAACTTTAAAAAAATAAAATCGCATTAAGTGCGTGAAAATCTATTCTATAATGCAATGAAAAAAAGAAAAAAAAAAAAAAAAAGGTTCGTGAAATTGGCAAATTTGATACAATATGCAAGATGAATAAAAGAGCAGCCTTCAAGACAATTTCGCAATACTTTCTTCTCCTTTCTCTTTAGAATTAAGTTAATCAAATCAGTTACAGTCATCCTTTGTCATGCAATCTCATTTTTTTTACGTCTCTTTATCAGTCTAGTCAACTTCCTTTTTCGCGAATGATAAAAAAACAAAAAAAAAAGCAATTAAAAATTAATTTCTAACAAAAATAATTTTTCTACACTATTATTGTATCTTAACAGAGTTTTTTTTCAATAATAAAATTGAGAAAATTTTTTAATTTCGAGAAAAACAATTTTAAAAAAAATTTCATAATAAAAAGAGGTGATTGTTCTCTAAAATGAAAAAAAACAAGAATGCAAAAAAAAAAAATTTTTTCTTTAACAAAGATTCTGTTCTTATTTCTATGAAGAGAGATTCCTTTGTAAAAACACTTGTCGCATTCGTAATACATTCCATTAATAAATAGCATTACGGAACCCCGCCTACACACACACACATATATATTAGCAGTAAATGTCTGCAGTTATTCTCTCTTCTTTATTGCAAGGAAACGTGAGAGAATAATTTCCAACTTCTTTAAAGTGGTATATACATAATACAATAACAATAATCGAAACCGCTATTTTTATAAAAAAAAAAACTTAAAAAAAACAATCATATAAAAACAATTCGCATATTAAATCAATCTTTTGTTTTTACAAGGGTAAAAAAATATATATTTTTCAATTGTTATTAAAACATAATTTAAAATAATAAAAAAAAATTATTATCTTTTCAAAAATAAATTTTAAATATTTTAGAATTTACGAAAAAAATTTATTATTATTATTATTTATTCAGGCCTCGGATCGACATAAAGGGACAAAAAAAAGTCGTTTTAGTCGATTTACATTCCAAAAAAAGGCGAAAAAAGTCGATTTTTTTTATTTTAACAAAAATATTTTGCAGATTTTTAAATAAAATTTTTTTTTTTAAATAATAATACTTTTGGAAGGGTTAAAATTGAAATTTTTAGAAATAATTGAATTTCAAAAGATTTTGTTAATTTTCAGACAATAATTAAATTTTACAGAACTAAAAATAATTTATCAAATAATTTTTGGATAACATTTTTTTAAAAGTAATTGAATTTTCAAAGATTTACAATTGAGATTTTTTGAAATTAATTGAACTTCAAGTGATTTTTAATTAAAATTTTTTGATGACTTCACTAAAAAATTTATTAGAAATTGCTGACAAAAATACAACAATTTCAAAACCATTTTTAATTGAAAAATGGTTTTAGATATGTTAAATTTTCAAAGAATATTATAAAAATAGTTAAAAATAATTGAATTTCCTTCTAGTTATAATTGAAATTATTAAATTTTAAAAAAATTTTCCATGGAAATTTTAGAAATAATTAAATTTTAGAAGCTTTTAAATTCAAATTTTGGATAATAATTAAATTTTAGTTGATTTCTGATTGAAAATTTTGATAATAAATGAATTTTAGTTGATTTTAAATTGAAAATTTGGAAATAATTAAATTTCCTTTGATTTTGAATTTAAATTTTGTGAAATAATTTAATTTTAATTGAAATTTTGGATAATAATTGAATTTTAGTTGATTTCTGATTAAAAATTTTGATAATAATTAATTTTGAATTGAAATTTTGGATAATTGTCGAATTTTAATTGATTTTGAATTGAAATTTTGGGTAATAATTAAATTTTATTTGATTTTAAATTTAAAATTTGAAAAATAATTGAATTTTAAAAGATTTTGAATTGAAAATAATTAAATTTTCTTTGATTTTGAATTGAAATTTTGTGAAATAATTGAATTTTAATTGAAGTTTTGGATAATTATTTAATTTTAGTTGATTTTTGATTGAAAATTTTCATAATAATTAATTTTGAATTGAAAATTTTGGATAATAATTAAATTTTAGTTGATTTTGAATTGAAATTTTGGGAAATTCCTAATTGAAATTTTAGTTGATTTTGAATTGAAATTTTTGTAAAATAATTGAATTTTATTTGATTTTAAATTGATTTATGGTTTTTGAATTAAAAATTTTTTGTAATTTTATTTTATATTTTTTTAAAATTATAAATAGGTAATTATTAAATTTCATAAAAGTTTTAGTTGAAAAATATTTTAAGGTAATTGAATTTTGTGAAGAATTTTATTAAAATTATTAAAAATAATTAATTTAGTGAAGAATTTTCATTTCAATAATGAATAATAATTTATTAAAAATTTGTTAAATAATTGAAATAAAGAAGATCTAAAGATGATCTGCATTTTATACTAAAAAAAATATATTTTATTTAAAATTTTTTTTAAAAAATGTAAAAAAAGTCGAAATAGTCGCATTTTATTAAAATAAGTCAAAAAAAAGTTGTATTTTTGAAAAAAAAAAGTCGGAAATAGTCGAAAAAGTCGTATAACGAGGCCTGTTTATTTATTTATTTATTTTAAACATAAACGGATTTAAAATAAATAATTTTTTTAATAAAATTAATTAATTAAAAATAATATTAATAAAAATATTGACTTCTTTAAATTTAAACAATTTAGTATTTTTAAAGAATAAAATTTCTTAATTATGAAAATTTTTAAAGAATTTTTATTTTTAAATATTAAATTTTTTTTTTTTGATTTTTAAAAGTATTTTAAAATTTTTTTCCACTATAATGAATAACGATTCGAAATGATGATGAATTAAGGCCGATATAAGAGTGCAATCAAGGGTGAGTGTAAATGAATCTCTATATAGAAGGAATGAATAACGAAGCCTACGCACTCTCTGGATAACAAGTTAAAAGCTGCTATTTTCATCTACTTATCTCTGTCTGGACCCGAGTCAATTGATTAATTTCAATTCGTAAACTATTCCCACGTGCCATTATTTTTATTTCGTTAAAACTATTTTTATCACCGCCTTTATATTTTTATACTACAATTTTCTCAAGGGTCCATTATAATCCAGTGCGGACGTATAGTATAATGGACCATTTTTGTTACAAATCACAAATTGAAAAATTTCTAGGTTATAAAATTATTTAAATTACTATATTATTTTCTATTACAAATTATATTAAATTGATAAAATAAAAACAGAATACACTTATTTTTATTTCTAACCCTATATACATAGGAAACGTCAATGTCAAAAAAATAATTTTCAAATTTCGTACAGAGACATCTGGAGGAAATTATTTTTTTCCGCGCGAAATTCAAAAACGCAAATACAAAGAATTTCTTCCATTTCGAATTATATTAATTCCAATCATTTATAAATGAATATTAAATGAGTTTTATATGTGCTTTTTTCCCACGATTCATGGCAAGGGCGCGGAGAACAATTGTGTATAATACTTTTTTCTACACGATTTGAAATTTTATGCGTTTCGGTTCGCAACGCACGTTCAACGTTAGGTGCATAAAACTTGCGTCACTGTACGACGGGATTACATAAAACAGGCGCGGGAATAGATGATTGTCATTTTTTTTTTACTGATTCCAGTAATTATAAAAAAGGGTTTAATTTTTTAATCCATACATATTATAAACGTAGAAAAATAATTACTTCATTAATATGTGAATGTACTTATAATTATTATAAATACTATATAATTATAGAGAAATAAAATTGAATTTTTTGTTAATGAATAATAATAATAAAAAAAAAAAATAAATTAGTGAATTGAATTGGGGGAGGACGAGGCAGGAATTGCGTCACAATTTAAATGGCCATCTCGCGAATGGTACGGACAGATACGTTCCATCCTGCTACTTTCCTACATGTGTGTGTTTAGGTTTCCCGCTCTCTCACTCGCAGGGACGTAAAAACATTAAGGGGCAATATTTATTAAGTTATTAAAAAAGTGATCGAAAATATATATTGAAACAATAATCAAATATATCTTCAATATAAGTATAATTATTGATTTTTATATTTTTCAAAAAACTTCTTTTATTAAAGTAAAGAAATTTATAATGTAAATTTCATTTTTAATTTTTATTTTTTAATTTTCATAATTAATAAAATAATAATTAAATTATAGTAAATTTATAATTATTTTTAGAGTAAACTTAAATAATTATTTTTCTAAATTATAATTAATTTATTCAATTAGTAGAAAGATTACAAAAATCTTTTTTAAATTCCTCGAATTCCTCACATAGGTAGGGGAAGCCCAAAACCGATTAACATAACCTCAAATTTAAAAAAAAAAATAAAAATGGTAGAAAAATTATCATTTCCAATTAATTTTCAAGTATTATACAAGAATAAATTATATAATTTGTTTACAAAAATTTAAATCTAACAAATTTAATTAAGGATAAAAATATTTTTCAATATTTATAAGCACCACGGTAGTTTTTACGCGCGAAATTTAAAAGTGACATTTCCAATTTTTTTAATTTAATGTAAAATGTTTATAAATTTAAATGTAAATAATAATAATAATAATAATAATAATAATAATAATAATAATAATAATAATACCTAATATTAAATAATTAAAAAATACAGTAAATAAAAAAATATTTTTAAACTTATAATTGTTTAATTAAAAAATAAATAGTTAAAAAAAATTTTTTCAACGTAAGTCATGAATGTAAACATTTTACTAAGGCTAGAAAAATTTTTTTTCTTTAAAGGAAATTTTCGCTAACAATATACATATATAGAATTATATCATTGGATAAAGAAGTTGTAGGGGGGGGGGTATGAACAAAAAAAAAAACTAAGGTTTTTTAAAAGCGATTGAACAACATATATACGAGTGTTACAATCGAGTGAATTCTTTTGCCCTAACGTATCCAATTTTCCACGCTTTTGAATGCAACAAACTGTTCCGTATTCAATATTCGAAACGAAATTTAAATTTCCGATGAAAGTTCAAACAAAGTATTTATTTTATATATATATTTTTTTTTCTTTTTTCTCACAATGTCACGTTTTGTTTCACTGTTTTGTAATATAATAAATATTCCTTATATTTCAAATTTGTTTTAATTTTGTTTATTTAAAAAAAAAAAAAATTCACAAATAGAAATAAATTAATTCAAATAAAAAAAATATGTTGAAAAAATTTAACTAATTGAAATAATTTGATTGCAAAAAGATTTCTATAATTTTTTTTTTGTTTATTTTTTATTGCAATTATTACTATTATTATTATTTTTATTAATTATGTTTTATATTATAATAATTATTTATTATTATTATTGTTATTATTATTATTATTGTTATAATGTGTAATTATTGAAATCAGTAATTAGCCAAACATGTGAAAAAAAAAAAAAATAATTTGCCAGCTACAAGAAAAATTGAATTTTCCAAAGAAAGAATCCTGAAGAAACATTTATCTAATCGTCATTGAGATAAAATGTGTGTTTCAGAGAAATATCTAGTTTCTTTTTTTTCAAAAAAAAGAGAAAAATATTAAATAAATTTATTTTATGCCTCGTTTTATACTCAAATATCCTATATCTTTGAAATATGAAATAAAAATTTTTTATTTTAATATTCCGAACTCGAATCTCAAGGTCCATACAAGTGAATGACATGTTGATACTATCGAAAATCATTTTTATGAAGGCTTTCAAATCCCAGTATTTTCAAGTTTAAATAATTTATTTTCAATGCCTTTTTAAAATTATCATTCTCAAAAAAAAAAAATAATAATAATAATAATACAGAAAAAAAATGAAGCAGAAAATAAATATTTGTTAGATAATTTTGTCAAATTACAAATTATAATTATTTTTTCAATATTTAATAATTATTATTGTTGTAAATATAAAAAGAATTATTATTTGAATAGAAAAAATTTTGTTTGAAAATAATAATTTTTCGATTTTTTTTTTGTATATAAAAAAAAAGACTAAGTGCTTTTTTATTAGCGAAACAATGAAAAGCAATTAACAACTTTTCTGTAAAACTATCTATATCTATAATGTATATTTGCATTTCGTTTGAACTTTTTTCGATGAGCTCATCGTTGTCACGGTTTCTCAAACTCAGCGCAAACAAGAGAATAATATAGCAGTGAAAAGAAATCAATTATATTGTACCTGGTCAGAGAAAGAAATTTAGATAATTCCATAAACTATTGTTTGCACTTTCATTTTTAAAATTCAGTCTTGCAATTTAAATTTCATTGTTTTTCACAGCACTTTTTTTCTCGTGTCGCGATTTTTTTTTTTAAATTTGACAGAATGAAAAAAAAAAAATTGCAATAAAAAGTGAGACGCACACTTCCCTCGTTGAAGGCTTGGCGCGCACTAACTGTTTTGGAGCCAAGGCAGCTGTGATCCCTTTCTGATCTCTCTTTCAGATTTCACAGTCATGTCTTAGAGGCACTACAATAAAAAAAAATTTATTAATCAAAAAACATTTAATTATTATAAATATTAATAATTTTATTTTAAATTTTGGAAATTAAACAAAAAATTGGAATTATTGTTTTCATGCGAAAAAAAAAAAATCATTTTCAGTGAATCGATTATTTTTCATCGATAATAACGATTCGAATAAAAATATTCATATACATATGGAAAACACACTTGATTAAATATTACGATCTATACAAAAAAAAAAAAAAAAAACTTTGAGGTTTCAAAAATACTAAATTGGTGAAAAATTTAATGATATTAAAATAATAAAAAAATTTTATTTGCTTTTTTTAAATTTATTAAACTGTAATTTACCAATATTTGATTAATTAAAGTTAAAATATAATTAATTCATAAAATTTATTATTAATAAAAAAAAGTGTTATTTTTGTTTGTAGTTTTTTTTTTTGTTTTTATTTTAATAAATTAATTTTAAAATAATAATTTAAAAACTATAAGCCAATACTGAATAAAATATCGATTTTTAAATTCATAAAAAATATATATACAATGAAAGAAAATTCTGTGACGTTTTGCGTCAATCGAAATTAAATTGACTTATAAACGTCAATTGAGGATTGATAACGTTTAATATTTTATTATCAAACAGAAAAAATATTGGATATAATATATTAATTATTGAATTTTGTATAAACAAAATGGAAAATTAATTACATATTCATTAAATTAAAAAAAAAATTCCAGTAAAAAATAATTTTTTTTTAAATTTTTTAATTAATATGAGTATTTTACAAGAGCCTCGCACTCGATTCTTATATATGAATATTTCAAATTGCACTATACACGTACGAGATGACTTGGTCTATTGGATAATTCGTGAGCTTTTCTCCAATAATTGGCACTCGTCAAATTGTAACATGAATTTGCTCTCTCTTTCTCTCTCTCTCTCTCTCTCTCTTGAATCAGATATACACTCGAAACTCGATATAGAATCATTGGCTCTCCAAGTTGCATCGAGAGAGATTCAATATAGTTGCAGGAAATAAAAAAAGAGGTAAAAAAAAACAAAGTAAATCCCTTTTCCGATACATTTCAAAAGAGAGAAATTTTTAGTTTTTTTTTTTTTTTTTTTTTTTTATAGAAAGCTGTTTTTAATTATAGAAATTTGAATAAAAATTTAAACTCCTCAAAATTTGGAAAAATGAAAGTATCATTTTTTAAAGTACATTTTTCTCATCGAAAAAAGATTATTCTAATTTTAAGAATATATAATATTATTTAAAAATTTTATTGAAACAATTATGTCTTTTAGTGAAAACTTTCTTATTTTCTGTTAACTCTTTCGCAATTTTCGAAATGAATTTTCATTTTATAAATTTTTATTTCATTGAATTTGAATTTATTTTTTTTTTTTTTTGGAAAAAAATGACTATTTTGTCTAAACAAAAATTCGAAAAAATAATAAATTCAAAGCCGATAAAAAAGTATGATGAAAATTCAGCTAAATAAATTTTAGATAATAAAATTCTGTCCAAATCATTAGAAAAAAAAATTAAAGTTCTGTAAAATAAAAATTCGACGTTTTTAATAATTCTGTCAAAATGTAAATTCGAAATTTTTTTTCCCTGTGTAGAAAAAGCTTCTAATTTCAATTTATTTATTTTTTTTTTTTAAGAAATGAATTTTTTTTTCAATAATCAAAAAATGTCTTTAGTGTGTATATAAAAAAAAAAAAAAAAAAAAAAAATGAGCACATTCCGTTCCACTCTATCGAATAGGAGACCCAGTTTGTAATCTACTTTATACCCTTTACTTGAAGGAAAATAGATTTTTACGAGGTCTGAAGCTCGCAGAATGTTCTTGCAACGGCTGCCAAGCTACTGTGTGCACACTTGCAAAAGCTATTAGCAATTTTGTATTGTGCGCGCCAGAAGCAGACATTTGTGATAAACTAAATAGGATTTTTCCTCTAAAAAAAACCTCGAGCCTTTTTTCCCAATGGGGCGGAAAGAAAAAGAGAAACATCTCTCCATAAATTCAACAATTACTCTGATTCACCATTAAAGGCCTTGGATCTACTGTAATAAAAAAAAGTCATTTTTAAAGATTTATATTCCAAAAAAAAAGTCGATTTTTTTTTAAACAAAATTTAATTAATAAATATTTTACTTTAAATAACTAATGTTATTAAATATTAAATTCATTTTATTAATTCTGTAATGAGAATAATTCTATATAATGAATATTATATCAAGAAAATTTATTTCCAATATTTCAAAATCGAACTAATTGTAAAACAAATTTTCAAAATTTTATTTAAGTACGACAAATTTCTTAAAAAAAAATTCTTGAAGTTCCAATTTTTTTTAATTTATTCAAGTCTGATTTAAGCAAATTTATTCGAATTAAAAATTTTGTCATACTTTTTAATTTTAATGGTCAAAAAAAATTTCAGACAATACTTAACCAAGTTTTACAGATTTTTGTAAAAAAAAAATTTTTTAAATAATAATTTGGAAAAAGTTAAAGTTGAAATTTTTAAAAATAATTGAATTTCAAAAGATTTTGTTAATTTTCAGACAATAATTAAATTTTACAGAAGTAAAAATAATTTATTAAATTATTTTAGAGATAATATTTTTTAAAAGTAATTGAATATTCAAAGATTTACAAAATTTAGATCTTTTTGAAATTAATTGAACTTCAAGTGATTTTTAATTTTAAATTTTTGATGATTTGACTAAAAAGTTTATTAGAAATTGTAGACAAAGATAGAATAATTTAAAAACATTTTAAGTGAAAAATGGTTTCAGATAGTTGAATTTTCGAAGAATATTATAAAAATCATTGAAAATAATTAAATTTCAAAAAATTTTAGATGAAAATTTTTAGAAATTAATTAAATTTTCGAAGCTTTTAAATTGAAATTTTTGAAAATAATTGAATTTCAAAAGATTTTGTTAAATTTCAAACAATAATTATAATAAAAGAAATTTTTATTAATTTCTGTTGACAAAGAATTAATTAGAAATCACATACAAAAATTGAACTCTCTCTAGTAGTTTACTTTTTAATAAGTTATTTTTTACTGTACTGTTGAAAAAAATACAGCCATGATTTTACTAAAAGTTTTTTTTTTTAATTTCAAATCTAATTCTTTTTATTAATTCTGTAATGATAATAATTCTATAATGAATATTATCAAGAAAATTTATTTCGAATATTTCAGAATCAAACTAATTGTAAGACAAATTTTCAAAATTTTTATTTTTTAAAAAAAATTTTTAAATTTCCATTTTTATAATTGTTTTATATCTGATTTTAACAAATTTATTCGAATTAAAAATTTTGTCATAGTTTTTAGTTTTGATGGTAAAAAAAAAAATTTCAGACAATACTTAATCAAGTTTTATAGAGTTTTTAAAAAAAAATTTTTTTTAATAATAATTTTGAAAGAGTTAAAGTTGAAATTTTGAGAAATAATTTTGAATTTCAAAAGATTTTGTTAATTTTTAGACAATAATTAAATTTTACAGAACTAAATAAATTTTATTAAATAATTTTAGAGATAACATTTTTTAAAAGTAATTGAATATTCAAAGATTTTTTAAATTAATTGAACTTCAAGTGATTTTTAATTAAATTTTTTTGATATGATTTCACTAAAAAATTTATTAGAAATTGCAGACAAAGATAGAATAATTTGAAAACATTTTAAGTGAAAAATGGTTTTAGATAGTTGAATTTTCGAAGAATATTATAAAAATAATTAAATTTCAGTTGAAATTATTAAATTTCAAATAATTTTAGATGAAAATTTTTAGAAATTAATTAAATTTTCGAAGCTTTTAAATTAAAATTTTTGAAAATAATTGATTTTCAAAAGATTGTTTTAAATTCCAGACAATAATTATAATAAAAGAAATTTTTTAGTAATTTCTTTTGATAAAGAATTAATTAGAAATCATATACAAAAATTGAATTCAAAAAGTTTTGAATTGAAAAATGCTTTCAGATAATTGAATTTTCGAAGAATATTATAAAAATCATTAAAAATAATTGAAATTTTTGCAAGTAATAAAATTTCAAGTAATTTTGAATTAAAAATTTTTGGTAATTTTATTTGCTAATATTTTTTTAAAATTATAAACAATTATTAAATTTTATAAAAATATTATAAAAATCAATTAAAAAGTTGAATTTAAAAAGTTTTTAATTGAAAAATGCTTTCAGATAATTGAATTTTCGAAGAATGTTATAAAAATCATTTAAAAATAATTAAAGTTTTTGCCAAATAATTTATTTTTATAAGTGATTTTGAATTAAACATTTTTGGTAATTTTATTTGCTGATTTTTTTTTTTAAATTATAAACAATTATTAAATTTTTATAAAAATTTGAATTGAAAAATAGTTTAAGATAATTGAATTTTTGAAGAATTTAATTAAAATTATATTAAAAATAATTAATTTAGTGAAGAATTTTTAGTTAAAAATTTGTTAAATAATTGAAATAAAGAAGATCTCCATTGTATACTAAAAAAAAAAACATATTTTGTTACATTTTTTTTAAGTGTAAAAAAAAGTTGCATTTTATTAAAATAAGTCGAGAAAAAAGTCGTATTTTTGAAAAAAAAAGTCGAAAAAAGTCGTATAATCCGAGGGCTGTATAATGAAAGTTTTAATTTAAAAAATTTTTGTAAAATATTTCAGCAATAAAACGATTAAAGGACAATACGTTAATGAAAATAGAAAAACGAGAGAAAATTGCAAGAAATGAAAGTGAAAATAATTGAAATTTATTTATTGTGAGTAAATTGAAAAGAATTTCATTATATATTATGCGAAAAATCCTTAAGTTTCATTTAAAATGAATTGCATAATTGTTATAAGAATGTTGGTAACTGCTGGTATACAAAGAAAAAAATAGGAGTAGCATTGAGAATAGAGCAATACAAATAAATATATGATAAGGGTGATTATATTAAGAGAATGTGTACGTGTATA